CCCACATCGGGCTCCCGGTACATGGAGCCTGCTTCTCCCTCTGCCTATGTCTCTGCCTCTCTCTCTCTCTGTGACTATCATAAATTTAAAAAAAAAAAAAACAAAAAAAACAAAAAAAAAGAACTAAAGTCTGTATGTGTCTGTCTTCTTGACTCTCAATAGATCATAGTGGTATAATGAAAAAGAAAAAGTGGCCAACGAAGTTAAAGGAAAGCTAATGGTATCCCTGAATGTAAATGCCACAGCTTGCAGAAAGCTTTCTGTACAGGTGTGCTGGTTTGTGTGCTAGCCATGGAAAACCAGGCCAAAAAAAGGGAAAAAAGGCAATGGAGCTATCAGATTATTGATGACAGCAGGTTGTTGATTTTGTATGCATTTCTGTTTTCATTTTTTTGAATCTCTTCTACAGAGCCCCAGAGGGAATCTGATTAACTTTACGGAATTGTCACCCATTGTGTTCATGGGGATAGAGGGTATTAGGCTGACCTTGTGACCCCATAAAAATGAAGTTTAATGGTTTTAGATCACACAGTCTTGAAAGTAGATGTAGCAGCATTACTAAGCAACTCTAGGCAACAATATTGGGAAAATACAGGCAATTTTCTGCTTCAGGTGAGCTAAACATATTCTTCATATTCGTCTGTTACAGTAATACCCAATGTCCCTGGAAACCACATTATCTGACAGACTCAGCTCTGAGGTAGGGCCATGAACCAGGAAGTAAACCAAAAATAGAAAATAGGTGACATAAGTACTCGGTATTTTGTTCTGAAAATCCTTTAGTTTCTATTCAGAGCCTGTTCACTGTGATTTTACTTAAAATATTATGAGGTTATATCCTAATTTGGAAACAGTAGTAGGTACTGGTGAAAGGGATAGTTTGACATCCAGGAACAGAATGGAGTTATATTGTATGCAAACCCCCAAAGGCATGGTCATCTGGGGCAGTCTGTGAGAAGCATCCTCCACATGCGCAGTGAGGGTCGTCTTTGAGTAAGAGGCATATTGGTGATGAAGAATCTGCATCATGAAGGTGGTGAACCACAGTTTCTGTTTTTAAGGACTGTTAGCGAAGTGGTATCTGTGTGCATACTTGGGTTTTGTGTTTCACTTGTACTGAATAAAATAAAGAAGAACCGTGTATTTTTTATTTATTTTATTTTATTTTTTAAATTTTTTTAATTTATTTATGATAGTCACACACACACAGAGAGAGAGGGGCAGAGACATAGGCAGAGGGAGAAGCAGGCTCCATGCACCGGGAGCCCGATATGGGATTCGATCCCGGGTCTCCAGGATCGCGCCCTGGGCCAAAGGCAGGCGCCAAACCGCTGCGCCACTCAGGGATCCCTGCCACATGGTTCTGTATGAATATCCTGCTATTTCTCAAATATTCGGAGTTCTTAGAGCTATCCAGTGATTTCCAATTTAATACTTTTGTAATCAGAGAACATTCTAACATTTTTATGTTTAGAAAATTACTGAAGGATGCTTGGATAACTCAGTCAGTTAAGCATCTGCTTTCAGCTTAGGTCATAATCTCAGGGTCCCAGGATCAAGCCCTGCATCTAGATCCCTGCTCAGTGAGGAGTCTGCTTCTCCTTCTCTCTTTGCCTGCCACTCCCCCTGTTTGTTCTCTCTCTCTCTCTTTCTGTCAAATAAATAAAAATCTTGGAAAAAAAAAAAGAAATTTATTGAGATTTATTTTATGGTCCCAGCATATAGTGGTCTATGTTTGCAAATATTCACTGTGTACTCGAGAAAACTGTCCTGCAGTTGTTGGGTGTGGTGTTCCATTATTAACATCACAGTAACATGATTAGTAGTGTGTTTCATATCTTCTGTGTCCTTAAAATTTTTTTGTCTACTTTTATTAATTATTGAGAGAGGGATGGGACACCACCTGGGTGGCTCGGCAGTTGAGCATCTGCCTTTGACCTAGGGCATGATCCCAGAGTTCCTGGATTGAGTACCACATCAGGCTCCCTGCATGGAGCCTGCTTCTCCCTCTGCCTATATCTCTTTTTCTCTGTATCTCTCATGAATAAATACATAAAACCTTAAAAAAAATTATTGAGAGAAGGATGTTGAAACCTATGATTGTGATGTTTTGTCATTTTTCTCTTTGGTTCTGTTTTTGTCTCATAAATGTTGAATCTCTGTGATTTGATCCATACACATTTATTTTGTTTTATTTTATTTTTTTAAAGATTTCATTTATTCATGAGAGAGAGAGAGAGAGAGGCAGAGGGAGAAGCAGGCTCCATGCAGGGAGCCTGACCTGGGACTCATCCCAGGTCTCCAGGATCATGCCCTGGGGGCTGAAGGCAGTGCTAAACTGCTGAGCCACCCTGATCCGAACACATTTAGGAGTAATGAGTTGATATTACTTTTATGAAACATCCCTCTTAATCTTTGGCAATATTCCTTGTCTTAAAGTCTGTATTGTCTGACACTAATACAGCCACACCACATTCACTGTACCTATTGTTTGTATGGTCTATCATTTTTTTGTCCTTTGACTTTCAACCTGTCAGTGTATTTAAAGTTCATTTTTCTTCTACAGCAATTTAGGTATGTCTTTTGTTAATCCCTGGTAACCATCTCTGGCTTTTAATTAGAGTGTTAGTGTAAATATTGATCTGATTTGTTTTTGCGTTTTTGCATTGCTATTTTTTTTCTACTTGTTTCTTCTATTTTTCTTGTTTCCATTCCTCACTTTTATTTTGGTGGTATCAGATAGTTTTTGGATTCAATTTTGATTCCTTTATTAGCTTTTTTTTTTTTTTTAAAGATTTTATTTATTTATTCAGAGAGAGGCAGAGACATAGGCAGAGGGAGAAGCCCGCTCCATGCCGGAAGCCCGATATGGGACTCAATCCGGGATCACGCCCTGAGCCAAAGGTAGATGCTCAACAGCTGAGCCACCCAGGTGTCCCTGTATTCTTTCTCCTTGATCATGGGTCACATATTCTTTGTTTCATGTTTAATAACTGTTTACTATTTTGGATGTTTTAAAGGTTAACATTATAGGGACTTTTAGTGAAAGCGTATTTCGTTTTTTTCCTATAAGCAATTCCTGGGAGATGGGTTCAGTTGATCTATCTACTTAGATGACTACCTACCTTCCTACTTTATGTATCTCTGTATCTATCAGTGGCAGATATTTCCATTTTAAACTCAGTTAAAGTGCATGACTCTTACTCTAGAGTATGATCTTTATTACTAAGCCATGGCCCTCCTGGTATCTAAATGGAGTGTCTTAGGTGCTTGTGAAGATCTTGTATCCTGTTTGGATAGAAACTTCGTGCCCTTTTGCATGAACTCTGGAGTCTCCCTTGAACTCATAGCTGCCCCAAAATCCATTTGCTAACTCAGTACAAAAACTCCAGGGGCCTGCGCTTCTGTTATTCTGGCTTGCCAATTCCAGACATTTCTGCAATTTGGAACAGGTAACTCTTCCTCATTGCCTCAGTGAAAGTGTAGTTCTACTTGGGCAGTAAATGCCTCTGGGCAGAAAGCCAGGCTGGTCATGGGTCTCTGCTCTGGTATTTCCCTTTTCTGGAGGCTTATGGTCTTGCACTGCCTGTGTTCGTGCCTGAAACAGTGGCTTCATAGGTTCTGTCCAGTTTTATATATAGTTTTACAGTTGAGGGTGAGGGCAAGTCCAGTACTGACTACTCTGATGGCTGGAAGCAGACATCTGGCAGTTTGCTTATAGGCTATGTCTTCCTCATTAATAACATTAATGACATTACACATTTTTTTTTTGGCCTAGCTAGAGTATGACTGATTTTCCTCTGACAGATTATTAATTTCTCTGCTGCAGCATTGCTGTTAACCTACGTAGGTGAACATTGGATCCACAATCAGTCTTTAGTCCATTGCTACACTTGGTCACAGAGCTAATTAAATGACAAGTCATCCTGATGGTTTGCCGAGAAGAACTTTGCCTTTTGCACAAATTGTCGTCGGCACCATCTTGTCATGTGGTTCTCATTGTCAGCTTCAGTGACAGACTGTGAATGGTGATTCCACATGGGTGCAGTTGTCTTTTTTTTTTAGAGAGTGCAGAAAGAATGAGAGCAAGAGAGAGCAAGTGAGTGCACGAACATTGGGGATGGACAGAGGGAGAGGGAGAAGAAGGCTCCCCACTGATCAGGGCCCCAGATGCGAGACTCAATCCCAGGATTAAGACCCAAGACAAAGGCAGACACTTAACCAACTGAGCCATCCAGGTGCAACCTGTTGGTGCAGTTGTCTTGAGGTTTTTTGAAAATGATCAGTTTTAGAATCAGTTTTGTGTGCTGTTCTTAGTTTAATTGTTAACGATTAGTTATCAGATACGTACTTCTATAATGTGTTTTCTGCATGAGGGATTCATGTGTATTTGTATGTAAAATTGATTTTAAAAATATTTTCAGGGGCACTGGGTGGTTCAGGGGTTGAGCGTCTGCCTTTGGTTCAGGTCATGATCCTGGAGTCCTGGGATCGAGTTTCCGTATCAGGCCCCCCTGTGGGGAGCCTGCTTCTACCTTTGCTTATGTCTCTGCTTCTCTCTCTGGGTCTCTCATGAATAAATAAATCTTAAAAAAAAAAAAAAGAATTAATGACCCTGTCCAGATGTATAGTCTGTCTCCTAAATTTTTTCCTTAGATAGCCTTCCCACTTTCATAGAATGTGGCTCAAAATTACTTGAGTTGACTCCCGAATATAGATCTTTTTATCCTCTGGGCATGTCCAGATTCACCATAAAATGGGGTGGGAGAGTCTGCTTATACCTCGTGTAGCTCTGTTATTCCTTGTGGTATGTGGCTGCCACCATTCAAAAGTGTTGAAGCCTGAGCCCAGGTCCTCTAGAGCTCTGCTGTCATGGAACACTGTGCTTGCAGGAAGTCACACAAGACCCTGTAAAAAATATACTCCATTTTGCTTGTTTTCTAAGTGTGGCATGATACCACTGTAGGAATATAATCTTCTATTCCTTTCTTCTGTTTCAGGCACTTCGCCTTAGTAACATGGCCATGGGGAAGACCACTACCGGCCAGATCGTCAACCTGCTGTCCAATGATGTGAACAAGTTTGACCAGGTAGGCTGCCCGCTTGAGGGATCCTTTTTCATTCCTGACACCTTCCTTGGTTTAACTCGGCATTTCTGATGCCAGTTTTTGGTGTAGAATATAAAATGAGGATACTTTTTATTCAATTTTCATTTCTTCTATGTGCAATTTAGGTATAGCACTACTATGTGTTTTCTGGTGATAGGCATTTTGTGTTCCTAATGTGTTTACAGCATACTTCAACAATGCATAAGCAGACAGTTCCTGTCCAACTTGTTTAAATGTTGCTAATAATCCTTCATAAGTGGCCTTTCTGGGCACATGTTGTTGGTATTGGTGGCTGAATTACCATTATTATGTTTTTTTTCTTTTCTTTTCTTTTTTTTTTTTTTTTAAGATTTTATTCATGAGAGAGAGAGAGAGAAGGCATGCTGAGACATAGGCAGAGGGAGAAGCAGGGAGCCCGATGTGGGACTTGATCCCAGGACCCTGGGATCATGAACTGAGCCAAAGGCAGATGCTCAACCACTGAACCACCTAGGTTCCCTTGCTGGCTGAATTCTTTGGTCTGCTCTATATGATGACATCTTGGTGGGCAGGGATAGTTCTGTGCCCTGTAGAGTGCTATATAGGAAAGCTTTTTTTTTTTTTTTAAAGATTTTATTTATTTAGAGAGAGGGCAGGAGCAGGGAGAGTGGCAGAGAGACAGGGAGAGAGAATCTCAGGCAGACTCCCCACCGAGCATGGAGACCAATTAAGGAGCCCAACAAGTGGCTGGATCTCATGACCCTGAGATCTTCACCTGAGCCCAGATCAAGAGTACGATGTTTAACTGAGCCATCCAAGTGCCCCATTTTTCTAAAGGATTTCTTTCTTTCTTTCTTTCTTTCTTTCTTTCTTTCTTTCTTTCTTTCTTTCTTTCTTTCTTTCTTTCTTTCTTTCATTCATTCAAGAGCGACAGAGCAGAGGTTTTTTTTTTTTTAAGATTTTATTTATTCATGGGAGAGAGAGAGCACGCGCACGCGAGAGAGAGGCAGAGACACTACAGACAGAGGGAGAAGCAGGCTCCATGCAGGGAGCCTGATGTGGGACTAGATTCCAGGACCCCAGGATCATGTCCTGGCTGAAGGCAGACGCTACGCTAAACTGCTGAGCCACCCTGTTTAGGTTCCTGTCTTCTTTCAGAGCAGATTGTTTCTGTACTGTGTTCTCACTGGTTTTGTGTTTATGCTGTCTTAAGAAAGCATTGTCTCTTCTCTTTTAAGGTGACAGTATTCTTGCACTTTCTGTGGGCAGGACCACTGCAAGCTATTGCAGTGACTGCTTTGCTCTGGATGGAAATCGGAATATCCTGTCTTGCCGGGATGGTAGTTCTAATTATTCTTCTACCCTTGCAAAGCTGCATTGGGAAGTTGTTTTCATCACTCCGGTAAGAGAAACACTGGTTTAAAAAATGGGTAGTATGTATTTATTAATATCCATGGTCTGGCCCCTGCTTTTGATGAAAAACAAATGTCTTCTGTGATCGCTTGTTTGTGTTGATTGTATCGGGTTCAGGCTTAGCCATGGAGGCTCCAGCCTTAAGCTGAGGGCTACTCTTGAAACTGAGATAGTGAAGGCATCCACTGGCTCCTCCTGGCTAGCTTTTTGGGCCCTGTGCCTCATTAAGTTGTGTCTTCCAGCAGAACTTACATATGATGAAGTTATTTCAACATATATTAAATGATAGTATAATTTAAATATCTACTTAGCGGTCCATTTCTGGCTGCATGGTTTTTTAATATATTTTTTTAAAGATTATATTTATTCATGAGAGACACATAGAGGCAGAGACCTAGGCAGAGGGAGAAGTAAGAATCTGATTTGGGACTCGATCCCAGGACCCCGGGAATACAACCTGAGCCAAAGGCAGATGCTCAACCACTGAGTCTCCCAGGTGTCCCTGGGCAGTGTATATTTTTGTTATGCTTATGTTAGAGGTATTTTCATGTGTGCATGTCTTTTTTTAAATTCAGTGTGACCAATAAATTACAAACTTCCCAAGGGCAAGGTCAACCTCAATTGTGTCTTTAGATGTCCAGCTGTCCTAGCAGCATATGCGATAGAAAAGTGGCTGGTGATACAGAGTTTGATGATGATGAAGCAGGTTCCAGAGGCTGGAAATGGGTGGCTGTCAAGGTTTTCAGTTGGATGATGATGTGCTGTTTGAAGCACATCTAGTTTTCTCTTCTGTTTCTTACCTTGTGGTTTTCTCAGCATGGAATTTGCTCTGCGGTGGAGAGATGTTCTGTGTCCTTGGAGTCCCATTTCAATGCTATTAGAACTCAGAAGCTTTTCCTGCTCTCTCCTTTGCCCAATTAGAATCAACAGCCCTTTCTTTTCTGCTCCCAGGACTTCGTTCTACTATACTATACCACAACCAACTGTAGTATTGTTAGATTCATGGGCTGTTTGCCTTCCCTACTCAAGCATGACCTCTTGGAGCAGGCGGTTTATATCTGATTCTCTTTTGTGTCTTCCTTAGTCCCTATTGCAAGTTTTCGAAGATACTACTTGAATTGGGATGAACTGTTGCCTTCCAAACTGAAGTCTCTTCCATTTGTATTTTGAGTCGAGCCACCTGTGTTGTATGAGTAGAGGCGCTGGAGGGAATCATTTGATCCCTGGTCGTGGGCTGTGTCTGCTGCTGATAAGGAAAGTGGGGCTGTGGCTCATCTCTCATGTCTGTCCCCTTAGGAGTAAGACTGCAACTTTCACAGATGTCAGGATCAGAACCATGAATGAAGTTATAACTGGCATAAGAATAATAAAAATGTATGCCTGGGAAAAGTCCTTTGCGGATCTTATCACCAATTTGCGAAGGTACGGTTCTCTGTATATTACCCCATGTTTTTTTTATTTTTCTGTCTCCTGCTTTTGCTGAAATATTTGAGGAGCCTTAGGAAGTTTTCCCATTAAAATGTGAACTAAAACACTAAACATACCCTGCCCCATGCTATGCACCATATTAATCTGCTCTTCCATTTACCATTTTCTTTATTATTATTATTATTATTATTATTATTATTATTATTATTATCTTTAAAGATTTTATTTATTCATGAGAGACAGAGAGAGGCAGAGATACAGGCAGAGGCAGAAGCAGGCTCCCTGCAGGAAGCCCAATGCAAGACTTAATCCCAGGACTCCAGGATCAGGATCTGAGCCAAGGCAGACGCTCAACTAATGACCCTCTGAGGTGTCCCACCATCTACTTCCTTTCTTTTCTCTTTCTTTAAAAAGAGCTTTTATTTATTTATCTGAGAGAGAGCGTGAGAGAGGCTTCTCCCTGGGGCATAGGGAGAAGCAGACTCCCCTCTGAGCAGGGAGCCCAATGTGGGGCTCAATTCCTGGACCCTTGTATCATAACCAGAGCCAAAAGAAGACCCTTATCCAACTGAATCAACCAGGGGCACCCCCGACCCCCATTTAGGTATCTTCTTAAAGGAAAGAGAGCGTGTTTCTACTACAAAAATGAAATTCCACGTATTTCTTCATACCCTGAATTCCAGACAAGTAACGATATTATTTGCTAATATGACAGTGGCATTGAAACTATAATTTATGTGAGCATTGCAAGAAGACGAAGATTGTAGAGATTGGGCCAGACTATCCCTCAGTTTTATTTGTGCCAAACAGAAACAGAGCCATGAGAATAGCCCCATGCCTTTGCTCAGTTCTGCATGTACTTTGTAGGTGCATCTCCCTCTACATCAAATGCACTCAGCTTTGCATCTTGCATCTTCTCTGGTCCCCAGCAAGGTCCCCAGCAAGCCCGACTAATTTAGCTCACTCCCCCCCCCCCCCCCCCATCTCACTGCCTGGCTCCAGTCATGTGCATCTTCCCCGAATACACTGCTCTGAGGGAGGCACCTCTTTGTGCATCCATGGGGCCTGTGCTGGCTGTTTCTGTCTGATGCACACATTTTCTCTTCCCCCAATGAATCATGAGCTCTTAGGGGGGACAGGCTATGTGCCCATCTGTCCTCAGCAAGGTGATCAGCACAAGACTTCTATCATTTGATGCCTGCCTGTTGAATGAACATTCATACCTGGTCTGAGTGACCCAGGCAGTTTTACAGAGTGACATTAAGCCTCCATTTAGTTGAGGTGAGCGACATTGGCATTTAGCCCTGGAGCCTGTGCTGTAAGATATTTCCATAAAATGGGGAGTGATTTGTCTTAATCCATGTTCTCTCCCTGGAAATGAAGCCACATGCAAAAGATAGTTGAATTTATGACTTGGATGTTGTTGCTTCCTTGAAAACCATTATCCTCTACTCTTTGCCAGGAAGGAAATTTCCAAGATTCTGAGAAGCTCCTACCTCAGAGGAATGAATTTGGCATCATTTTTCGTTGCAAACAAAATCATCATTTTTGTGACTTTCACCACCTACGTGCTTCTTGGCAACGTGATCACAGCCAGCCGTGTGTTTGTGGCAGTGTCGTTGTATGGGGCTGTACGGTTGACCGTCACCCTCTTCTTCCCCTCGGCCATTGAGAGGGTGTCCGAATCAGTCGTCAGCATCCAAAGAATCAAGGTTCAGTGACAAACACCTTTTTTACGTTTTAAGTGTATTTTAAGCAAAATGCCTGTTCTGAATTGGGGTCACCATGTTATACTTAGGTGAAGCCTGGCAGTCAGTCATTCAAGAATGTTGTGTGTATTCCCCTCTCAGTCTTGGTAGAGTATAGGTAGCTAAGTTGCTGATCATTTCTGGCCGGCAACATTAAATAGCAGTGACACAGGGCTTGTGAGGTACAGGTGATAACTGCTGGGTGGTTAAAATGTCTAAAACAGCAGAAATTTCACAAGCAGATTTCATCCCTCATGCCATCTTGAAGGACTAGGCAGACTGTAAGACTGGGGTTGGAGTGAGGGGAGACCAAATTTCTCTCTGGGCTGGGATGGAAAGAGCTTGCAGAAGGCCCTGCTCCTTGGGTGAGGATGAGTCTCTCTGAAAAAAGGTGAGTTCTGTCCTTCATAGATGCCTGGTTTGTGGTTTCTGAGTAGGCCTGTGGATCTCCTTTCACGTTTTCTTTCTGTCTCACTCTTATTTCTGGGAAAGTCTTCCATATTTTATCATACCCTGCCCTCAACCATACCCACTACCTCCTTTTCCAAAATAGCTGTCCCTATGTTGCTCAGGGAAAGTAACTTAAATCTTCAAGATGCGGCCCTCAGGTATTTTTAGGTTTATAAATAAGCCTAAAATGAAAATAGATTGGCTCAGTGAGGCAGACAGGGCATGATCTTGAGTGCCTCACTTTACACAGAAATCTGGTTTATTTTGTTCCTGCTTCTCCACAGTGCTGGATATGTATTAAAATATGTCTAGTGAAGTTTGATGGCTCTGGGTTTGATTTTTATCTTCTTTTTCTAGTTTTGTCATAAAAGTAGAGTTTTTTTTTTTTTTTAAAGACTTTATTTATTCATGAGAGAGAGAGGCAGAGACACAGGCAGAGGGAAGAGGAGGCTCCATGCAGGGAGCCCGATGTGGGACTCGATCCCCGGTCTCCAGATCATGCCCTGGGCTGAAGGAGATGCTAAACCCGTGAGCCACCCAGGCCGCCCTGAGGTTTTTTTTTTTTTTTTTTTTTTTTTTAAGGTTTTATTTATTTGATGAAAGCAGGAGCACAAGCAAGCGGAGCAACAGGCAGAGGGAGCGAGAGAAGCAGGCTGTTTATGAGCAGAGAGCCTGACATGGGGATTGATCCAGGACCTCAGGATCATGACCTTCAGCCTAAGACAGATACTTAACTAACTGAGCCACCCAGGAGCACCTCTTATTTTCTTTTAGATCTTAGACTCTTTTTCAACCTCTGTTTTCTATAACCCTTTAAAAAAAAATTAGATCTTGAGTGCATCATAATCACCTAGAGTTCTTACTAAAACTGAATTATAACATGTTGGAGATTGATTCCCTGGGTCATGCAGAGCCCAAGGTATCCGTGTCTTAGGTGTGCCCATGTACCTGGAAATATGCCACATGTGGGGAACATTGCCCCCCTTGTGGAAAAAAGCCAGGATGTACTTAGCAAGTTATAAAAAATGTCAGGATTATGTTAAGACTAAAATCAGGTGAGAGGAGAAGCTAACACCTGTCTCGGTTTATGCTGAACGTTTTTGGAGGGGGCGTACATTGAGGATTCATTCCATTGCTCCACAAAATAACTGAGCACCTACCTTAATCCTGGGGCGGTGCTAATGTGTATGTAGAATAATAATGTGCAGATATCCTTCCTACTTGGAATGCATGCATCATCAAGTAGGGGTAAATAAATACTCAAAGGCAGTCACTGTTAAGATGTGTTTCATGGCATTAGTCATTGAAAGGGATAGTCTGAGCTGCCTTGAGGTGCTTTGTAAACATAATTTTGGAGGTAGAGCTTCCTGGGAAGGCTGAAAGAGGGGCCAGGAGAGTTACAGTTATGGGTGGTTAGGAGGGGATGGGAAACGTTTGGGGGAGGTAGGAGGCTGATACTTTTCATTATTGTGGGGATAGTTATGTGACAAAAAAGCTCTTAAAAAGTGCTTGGTGCACCCAGAAGGAGGTCCATGTATTTGAGGAGCCAGAAATGTCTAGTGGTGCACAATAGAGAGTGCTGGGAGGCCTGAGCAGGGCAAACAGCACCCTACAGACTACATTAAGCTGTTTTGGTTTTGCTTTTTCAGAGCTCCCTCTGGCTGCAGCCTGGGGACTGAATCAGAGAAGATGGGGGTGGGTATCCAGGATAGAGCAAGAAGATGCATCAACAGGCTAATGCAGGAGTACCTGGGTGCCTCAGTGGTTGTGTGTCTGCCTTCCGTTCAGGTCGTGGTCCTGGGGTCGAGTCCCACATCTGGCTCCCCACAGGGAGCCTGCTTCCCTCTGCCTGTGTCTCTCTGTGTCTCTTATCAAATAAATTTTTGAAAGAAAGAAAAAGGCAAAGGCAGCCCGGGAATAGGATGACACGGTTTGGATTAGGCTGAAATTGATGGAGGCCTGATTGCCACTCAGGAGAGTGTCTTGGGTCCCTGACAGAGGTAATAGGTAATGATTAGAATGAACTGATCCAGCATTCCCTCTTCTTCCTTTCCATGCCACTCACTTAGATGTGTTTTGTGTCAGCAGGAGAGGAAAGGTACGCAGAGTTCACTCCCCAGGTGAACTGCCAGTCAGGACCAGGCAAGGTTTGACATGCAGGGTCAGAAGCTGTGTTGGTATACAGGAGCTTGCTGTTGACAGTGTCTTTTGCAGCCCAGGATTCAGTAGGCAGCACAGGCATGATTTCCAAAGAGCTTGTGTTTGTTAGCTGTAGGAGCTAAATCCACCAGACCTCCCCCTTCAAGATGGTTCTATGGTCTGCAGCTCTGGGCTAAATTCTCATGTGGGCTGTATAGCGTAGTATCTTCTTTTCTACATATACTTTTCTTTCTTCTTTCTATTTTTATTTATTTATTCTTGAAAGATACACAGAGAGAAAGGCAGAGGGAGAAGCAGGCTCCATGTAGGGGACCCGACGTGGGACTCAGTCCTGGGACTCTAGGATCATGCCCTGGGCCGAATGCGGGTGCTAAACCGCTGAGCCACCCAGGGATCCCCGTCTACATACACTTTTCAATTTCCTTTTTCCCAAGTACTTAAAACGAAGGATTTATTATGAAGTTACAGGTCCAAGAAGTTCCTTCTATTTTTCTCTTAGTGACATTGGACAAGTCCAATAGGATTATAAAAGATCTTGTCTTGTCTTCAAAGCACTGGAAGTCTTAACAACGTCTATGCCCAATAAAGTGTGTCTCTGAGGTTATATTGTTCATAATGCTGCTTAGGCTTTTTGCCTACCAGCCACTCTGAAGTCAATCTTTCTGGCTTGAGTTCTGATGACTTTCCTGCATGACCTGTTCTGGGTATGCACTTCATGGCTTTAATAGTAATTTAATGTCAGCCTTTTCATCAGCTTGAGTACTAGAGAAAAATCCAAATAGTGCTTCTGGCACCTTTACAAGCTGTTCATGTGTTGAATGGTGTCTCATTTAACCATTGGGAGACTGTAACTTTTTTCTCCACTCAGACCTATTTCTGGACAAATGCTCAATTGATTTATTTTCTTTGTGCATAGTTTTCCTTTTCTTTCTTTTCTTTTTTTTAATATTTTATTTATTTATTCATGAGAGACAGAGAGAGAGAGGCAGAGACACAGGCAAAGGGAGAAGCAGGCTTCATGCAGGAAGCCCGATGTGGGACTAGATCCTGGGACCCCAGGATCCTGCCCTGAGCCTAAGGCAGACACTCAACCACTGAGCTACAGAGGTGTCCCCTTTTCATTCTTTTCTTGATGGTGGTGGAATTTCTATTCTAATATGCACGTACTGAATATTGAACTTTATGTCTTGTTAATAATTTTATGGTATAAAATTGGAATTTTATTCTGTCTAGGCAAGATTCGTAACTCGTAAAACTTTTTGTTTGTTGCTGTGTTAACTCATACTCTGTAAAACTGTAGTGATGTAGTCAGTGGTCAGATTCCGTTGAACCCGCCATATGGTCTGTTGGCTTCTTTTGGGGATATCCAAGACTTCCCTGACACAGTCGTGGGCAGCGAGCCCAGATGAGTGAGGAATGCATGAGCAGGCCATGCCTCAAGTAGCTGGGTCTTTCAGAGAAATGGCATAGGAACACATTTTTCTTTTCCTGCACAGAAGAAACTTTGCATATTCAGCTTTTACCGGTTCTTTTGAAGTTGAGTATTGTAATCACATTTGTAGCTTTGTGAATAGTAGACAATTTTGAATGACTTGAAGAGTGTTTGATTTTTGTAGTAGGTGACTTATATGTTGTTTCCCTAAGAAACTTAAACATGCTTAGTTCGTTGCTTCCTACATGGGTTAAGGTTAGGTTTGCCCATGGGATCTAGAATACGCACATTAAAACTGCTTTCAGAAGGCAGTATTTTTGTGTGTCGGTTTGTGTGTGTGTGTGTGTGTGTGTGTGTGTGTGTGTGTGTGTCGGTTTCTTAGGGCTGTTATAACAAAGTACCACAAACTAGGTGCTCAGTGCAACAGAAATCTGTGGCTTCATGTTTCTGGAGGCCAAAAGTGTCTTAAAATCAAGATGTCTTCAGGGTCACGATCCTTCTGAAAACTCAATAAGGGAGAATCTGTTGTTGAGTTTTCTGACTTGTGGTCCCTGACAGACCTTGGCATTCTGCATTCCTTGGCTTGCTCCACTGACTGAGCCAGCCAGGCACCCCTCTGCATTTTCTTCTTTTAATTGACTGTTTTATCTTTTTTGTGTTTAAAGACTTTATTTGTTCATGAGAGACACAGAGAGAGAGGCAGAGACATAGGCAGTGGGAGAAGCAGGCTCCATGCAGAGAGCCAGATGTGGGACTCGATCCTGGGACTCCAGGATTATGCCCTGGGCCGAAGGCAGGTGCTCAACCGCTGAGCCACCAGGAGTCCCTGCATCCTATATGGACACCAGTCAGATTGGATTTAGAGCTTACCTTATTCCACTATGACTTTACTTTAATTACTAACGTCTGTAATGACCCCATTTGCAAAAAAAAAGTCAAATTTTGAAGTAACTGGGGTTATGACCTTTTTTTTTTTTTTTTTGAAGACAGTTCACTCCATAAGAAGCTCCATTGCTGGTGTTCTGTTCTCTGGTGTTAGAAACCTAGACACTTTTTTTTATCATTCATTGTGTGTGGTCTTGGCTAAGCTGGTGACTTCCAAGCCACTGTGGGGAGGGAGGAAGGTTCCTGGACATTGTCCGTTTCCAGTGGCCTGAACTTAATCAAGTGGCTACACATAACGCCAGGGGAGGCTGGGAAAGGGGTGGTGGTGTGTGTGTGTCTCTTTTCAAGGCTGGCATTGTCAGCTAAAAATTAGGGTTTTGTTTCCACAGGAGAATGAGAGCAGATTCTGATGGCCATTAAAAGTCTCTGCCACATGGTCAATGTTTTGGTGGTGTAGAGGTTATTAGTTGTTTATTCCATTTCTGTACCAGTGCAACTTTTCTCATTGAATTATGTCTAGTGTTTATAGAGCAAGAAGATTTCCTTAGATAGGTGATTATGCTACCTTTGTAACAGTTAACAGGGCTTTGTTTTATTAGCTTGCACTGGGTAGCTGCTAACTAGTGTGGAAGTAGAAGATGTGACCATTTCTGCTGCCCAAGAAGAGTTGCTAAGGAGATTATGAAAAGTGCTTGTAAAATATTTTGTAAGAGATAGAAACTTGTTACAGGGATTTTTTTCAAAGAATTATGACAAGGGATAGTTAATGATGAATGAAACATTGATTTCACATGTATAGGGAGAAAGTGTACCTAATTGTCCCATGAAAAGTCACAACAAATAAATGAGTAGAGCCGCATTTTTCACTGAGAGTCTTTGCCACTGGTGTCGTGTTCGCAGCCTGTCCTTTCGGGCCAGCTTGATTCCTCAAAGCCAGGGGGATGGCCCTCATCTTTGTGTTCCTAGCATCTCACGTACTGCTTCGCACATGGTGGGATTAGGTAAATATTTTTGGAATCATTTCCTACCAACTCCCCTGTTTATTGTTAGTAACAGAGAAGCAAAACAATAATAATGTCCAGGTTCTAAATGTCTTCACTATTTGTTTTTATTTTTATATTTTTAAACGATTTTATTTATTCATGAGAGACACAGAGACAGGGCAGGAGACCTAGGCAGAGGGAGAAACAGGTACCTGTGGGGAGCCCGATGAGGAACTCTATCCCAGGACCCCTCGGATCATTACCTGAGAGCCAAAGGCAGACGTTCAACCACTGAGCCATCCAGGGTGCCCTCACTGTTTCGATCTCTGTTTTCTCTTTAGGGAGAAGAATCCGTATACTTGTTGAGAAGGTGACAAGATAGCTTTGTGAACTGTTTTGTTTGTGTATATACACATTATTTTATAATTACATAGGACATGCTGTGTTGTGATGGGAGTCAACCGTTCTAATATAGTGGGTAAAGTGATACCTGGGCTGTGTAAAATGCTGCATTGCAAATTACCAGGAAGGCAATTACTTTTGCTTATGCCTTGCTCCTGCAGTTCAACCCGCCTTTCTCCTTATTCTGCAGAACTTTCTGTTACTTGATGAGATATCCCAGCGCACCCCTCAGCTGCCATCAGATGGGAAAATGATAGTGCATATACAGGACTTCACCGCCTTTTGGGACAAGGTAACAAATTTTCCACATCAGATGGGAAAATGATAGTGCATATACAGGACTTCACCGCCTTTTGGGACAAGGTAACAAATTTTCCATTACAAGGGAGAAGGAGAATCAGGAAGCCTGGTGCAGGGCTCCATTCCAGGACCCTGGGATTATGACCTGAGCTGAAGGCAGATGCTTAAGCACCTGAGCCACCCGGGTGCCCCAGGGTACACAGATTTAATAGAGAATTTGAAATTATTCTTTTTCAAACTGAGTAAAATGTAACTGGCATCATTTACTTGAACGTATGTTATAAAAATTCTCAATCAGGAATAAGAAATTAACTATGAAATCAGCCCCAAAGGCATTTGACATATTGTTCTTTATCTCATCTTTAAGAGAACTTTCCAAGTATTATCTCATGTTTTGGGAGTAAGTATGTAAGTTTGCAATGTCAGAATTTACAGGGTTGCACAGGTGATAGTGTGCCACATGAGCTAAGTAACAAATACATTACAGATTCTTACAGATGAGGGACTTTGGGGAATTGGTGAATGTTTTTTTACCTTGATGCTTTCAGACCATCTCTTTACCTGTTGAGTGAAGCCTGTGATGTGGATCTTTGCTCTGGGGTAGGGTGATGGCTCCCCTGTTCTAAACTTCTGGAAGCTGCTGTTGACTTTGGTGACAGCCAGGGGTGGGGAGGAGGCAACAGGTGGGCATTGGAGGTGCCATGATTCTCAGCTGGAGGGTTCGGCTGTGTGGCAAACTGACAGGTAGAAGAGGTGTGAGGTGTCGAGGAGTTTGTTTCGCTTGGTCTGTTTATGACATTTAGGCACATGGGGAAAACTGGATAGCCCGCTGCAGGCCCAGTGCCACCTCTCTTGTCAAAAACTGAAACACTTTCTTAGCCTGCTCCTATGGTCTTCTATGCGCATGCTCCCATCAGAGTCTGGGTTAGTCAGGAACACAGAACTCAATCCTCAGAAATGAGTGAATTCGTAACTGAGCCAGTGAAAGAATAAACAAACAATGAGGGCAAACGGTGGTGTGTGAGGCAACCCCGAGATTACCAATGGCAGGCGGCTGCTCCCATCCCTCGGGCTGGAGGGATGTAGGGAGGAGGTGGCCCCTACCAGACGGTCACCCATGTGCAGTGGAGTTCAGTTGCCTGGCCTTCCTCAGGAGTGGGGACCATGGTGGGGAGGGCCTGTTCTGTGGGCCCTGGCACCTCAGGGATGAAGCAGCCACCGTGGAAATATTGCTGGAAGCACGTGGAGGTGCTGGTGGGTGCACCTCTCCCCTCCTACCTCTGGCCCCCAGACCCGGTGTTCTCTACAGCTGAGCTGGTGTTGGTTTGGAAGGTTGCAGGAGCCAGTTCCGGGCATTGCAGGGGAAGGCTGAGGAATGGTGTCAAGAGCCCCACAGGCGCAGTTGGGACTTAGGCCCACATCCCCTCTGGGTTCCCTCCTTCAGGGCTGCCAGGGTCCTAACTCTGGAGCTTTTCTGTCTTTTCCTGCCCACGACTAGGTATCGTGCCCTCTGTTGCATGTTTGCCTGCTTCTCCTTGGATTCCCAGCAGTGTTCCGGACAAAATAATAGTTCCCAGACACATGATGATGCACTGCTACACTTGTCCGCTCACACACAAGGGGCCTTACCTTACCTCACCCGACACTTTCAAGCAGCAGGGAATCAGCTGCCGTAAAGTAGATAGTTGTCTTTGCAATCCCCTTGAAGCACTTTCAGGAAGCACCGCTCCAGTTCTGTTCAGTTCTGTTCTGCGAATGCCATTGAGCTAAAGAGCACTAACCTTGTTAATAGGCACATTGTGTAATGACCCGTCACCAAATCACTTTTGTGGCACATTGTGCTACACTGTAAAAACCTAGCAATTCTCTTCTTCCCAGACTTCCTAACACGTTCTCAGACATTTTTCCTGCAGCTTGCATTGTAGCGCAGGACATCCCATTCTAGTGGTCTGGCCTTGACTGTGAAAGGATTGTGCTTCACGCCGGGGATGATTAAGGCCTGTCAGATTAGGTCACAGAATAGGGAGCCTTGGGTCTGGGAAGGCCACAGACACTGGGGGTTTGGGAGAGAAGCTGAGGCCAAATGTATCACATGCTGGGCTCTGAGAAGCAGAAGGATGTGGATCTTCCAACCAGGTGCACTTGATAGCCGGGTTGGTAGGTAGGTGGGCAAAGGTCTCACCCACCCGGTTTCATTCATTAAATGAATGCACTTGGTTTTATGCCTGTAAGCTTTGAAGTGTTATGGTCCAGTGGGAGCCTCTTTTCGACTTTGTGGTTCACTGCTGCATCCCCTGGGCCTAGCTGGAGTCTGGAACTGGGTGAGGGCTCAGTCTTATGCGCATTGCATCAGCTGCTTGTCAGATGCTGCCCCCTGCTGGCCAGCGGTTGATCCTGAGGTTGTCATGGGAAAAACACTCCTAAAAAGAAACTGAGGTGTGGGGGAGCTAGGAAGCCAATATTGGTATATGGCTTATGTTTTTGTGGTCGTAATTGAGGAAAATGTAGTAAAATAAGTACTAGTTAGGAGTGGAGAAGCTTAAAAAAAGTTTCTGTGTTTTGAAATCCAGCTTGTTAATAGTTTTTATAATTCTGATAAAATCTGGGCCCAGTTTTTCTTTGGTGATTAAATGTGATTATCATAATTTTTAGTAGGTACCCATGTTATAATCCATTATGTCCTGAGAAAATTTTCATTTTGGAAATTATCCAGACCTTTTATTTCTCCTCCTGTGCCTTTAGTCTTTCAGGTATTTTACTAATGGCATTACCCATTCAAGATATAGAGAGGTCCTGAAGCTCATCACCAGAAAGTTCAGGTCTGCACCTGTTTGTGGGAAGATGAGCTCAGCTGGCCAGACTGATGTGCTTTTTGATTATCCGTGGGTTGGATTCTTCCTAGCACCATCCCAGATAGTTGTGTTTGCCAGGGCTGGTCTGCACAGCTGCTGTGTGCATTTCTCTGCCCTTTGTTTTGGAAAAATCCTTTTCTGGAATGTAGAAGGTGACACTGCCTTAGATCAACTCTAGGTCAGTTTCCTGTGATATGTGAAGACTGCTTTTGTAGAACACAAGGCCCCTCCATACAAGCTTTCTTCAGAAAGGGTTTGGGTTTCAGATACAATCACTAGATCCTCAGTCATGGCACTGTGCATGGTGTGGACTCAGAGAAGCATCCCATGGGAAATTACAAGGAGATCATAGCAGTAGGAAAAATTTAGATGATCCCTGAATAGTAGCTCTTTTTTTATTTGACCTTGAATTTTCATTTTTTTTTTTTTTTAGATTTTATTTATTTATTCATGAGAGACCCAGAGAGAAAGGCAGAGAACACAGACTGAGGGAGAAGCAGGCTCCATGCAGGGAGCCCGATGTGGGACTCGATCCCGGGACTCTAGGATCACGCTCTGGGCTGAAGGCAGGTGCTGAACAGCTGAGCCACCCAGACATCCTGACCTTGAACATTTCCTATCAATCTTCTGACAGTTTCGATATCTGGGTTTGGACAAACATTCTTACAGTTGGTGACTACTACTGGGATTTTATAATCTTAAAACCATCTCTTGGGCTGTCTGGGTGGCTCAGTGGTTGAACATCTGCCTTCAGCTCAGGTCTGGTCCTGGGATTGAGGCTTACATTGGGCTCCCCACAGGGAGCCGGCTTTTCCCTCTGCCTATGTCTTTTGCCCTCTCTCTGTGTCTCTCATGAATAAATAAATAAATAAAATCTTAAAAAAAAAAACCGTCTCTCTACTTGTTTGTACCCTCTGCCCTTTGCTCAGAAGATAAAATACTGATTGTTGTTGAATGAGACACAGAAACCTTCTCCTTTTTATTTACTGTGCTCTGCTAAACTCTTTTTCTTCCTCCAAGAATATGCTTTGTTCTTAGCAGTTTATTATTATTTTTTAAGATTTTACTTATTTATCCATGAGAGAGAAAGAGAGAAAGAGAGGCAGAGACACAGGCAGAGGGAGAAGCAGGCTCCATGCAGGAAGCCCGGCGTGGGACTCGATCCTGAGACTCCAGGATCATGCCCTGGGCCGAAAGCAAGCGCTAAACCACTGAGCCACTCAGGGATGGATCCCCAGCAATTGATTTTCTAATGTTTCAAAGTTCTATATGGAAATGAATCTTCTGGGATCCCTGGATGGCTCAGCAGTTTAACTCCTGCCTTCAGCCCAGGGCCTGGTCCTGGAGTCCCAGAATCGAGTCCCACATCAGGCTCCCTGCCTGGAGCCTGCTTCTCCCTCTGCCTGTTCCTCTGCCTGTCTCTCTCTCTCTCTGTCACTCATAAATAAATAAAATCTTTTTTTAAGAAAGGAAATGAATCTACTTTGGTCTCTTTAAAGAATAGTTTGAAGGGTGAAGGTGTAAAACTGAACTATTTTTTAAAGAACAGGAATACTTAGAATTTTCCTAACACTGAATCTGTGTCTTAGAATTTATACAATGTTCAGGAATACAACTCCTGATCAGTGTGATTTTTGCTTTGTCCTTTTCCCTTGTGTCTGATTCTGTGATGTAGGCATACCTCCACGTGTCTTTTGCAGTAGAAGTACTTTGCTGCCCCTATTTAGCCAGGACAGGTAATGCATGCTACAGATATAAAACTAGGACTTTACCACTCTGGCCCACAATATCCTACTAATTTATTCATTGTTTTTTTGGTAAAATTTGAGCTCTGAATATAGCCTTGATATCCCACTGACATGAGTCTCTGCCCAGAGTGACCTTATAGTATAAAGTGCCTTCTTGCTTTGTGAGCATTACTGAGATTTCTTCCTTATCAAATGAGAATGGAGCAGTTACTGGAGATTTCAAATTACTATTAGTGAAGGGTCCCAGGCATGCCATGTGCTTATGCTGCCACCTTGTGGGGGTTAATGAGATAGAAGATTAAAACCAAGGGTCATAGCATAAATTTAAAAAATCTTCCATACTAAATACAAATTAAAACCACTTTTTCTTGGTTAGAATGGCTAAAATTAACAAGTCATGAAACAACAAATGTTGGCAAGGATGTGGGGAAAGGGGAACCCCTCTTACACTGCTGGTGGGAATGCAAGCTGATGTAGCCATTCTAGAAAACAGTATGGAGGTTCCTCAAAAAGTTAAAAATAGAACTACCCTACAACACAGCAATTGCACTACTAGGTAGTTACCCAAGCGAGAAAAATAGGATCACCTGGGTGGCTCAGTGGTTGAGCACCTGCCTTTGGTCCAGGACATGATCCTGGAGTCCTAGGATCGAGTCCCACATCGGGCTCCCTGCGTGGAGCCTGCTTCTCCCTCAGCCTGTGTCTCTGCCTCTCTCTCATAAATAAATAAAAAAAATCTTTAAAAAAAGGGCAAAAACCAGTGTTTCAAAGGGGCACACGTATCACAATGTTTATAGCAGCAATGTCCCCAATAGCCAAACTATGGGAAGAGCCCAATGTCTATCGATAGCTGAATGGACAAAGAAGATATGGTATCTATTTAATGGAATATTGCTCAGCATTCAAAAAGAACAAAATCTTGTTTCCAATTATGTGGATGGAACCAGAGGGTATTAATACTGAATGAAATTTTTTTATAAAGATTTTATTCATGAGATACACACACACACACAGGCAGAGAGAGGGAGAAGCAGGCTCCATGCAGGGAGCCCAACGTAGGACTGGATCCTGGGACTCCAGGATCATGCCCTGGGCCGAAGGCAGGCACTAAACTACTGAGCCACCCAGGTGTCCCACTACTAAGCGAATTAAGTCAGTCAGAGAAAGTAAAAAACCATGTGATTTTACTCATGTGGAATTTAAAAATCAAAATAGATAAACCTGGGAAAGGGAGGAAAAACTAAGAGAAAATCAGGGAGTCAAACCATAAGAGACTCTTAAATCTAGGAATCAAACTGAGGGCTGTTAGAAAGGAGGGGGTGGAGGGGATGAGGTAACTGGGTAATACGTTAAGGAGGCATGTGATGTAATGAGCACTGGGTGTTATGTGCAACTGATGAATCACTAAATTCTACACCTGAAACTAATAACATGCTATATACTAAGTAAATTGAATTTAAATAAAAAATTAAAAAAGTATTGTGACTAAAAACCACACCTATACTTAATATTTAGTTAACTGTATTCTTTTAATGTTATTGTGCACCAAGTTGTTTTCATTTCAGGAGAGTGCCTTGTTGTTTCTACCACTTAAATTCTGTATGAGTCTAGAACTGGGTTCATAATCAAATTTGGTAGGAGAACAGGTTTTCCAAAAGGCAGCTCAATAAATCCCAGAAAATAAGAGTTGATTGAAAAGGACTCCAGGACACAGTATCTTCAAATAAGAAAGAGAGATGTGGATAATGTTCACATATCATTGACTATTAGGTTATTTTCTTTTTGAGGAGATTTGTGTTACTTTATTGAAATGGTCATATTTTTGTGAACTTTAATTTGTAGGCATCAGAAACCCCAACCCTAGAAGGCCTTTCCTTTACTGTGAGACCTGGGGAATTGTTAGCTGTGATTGGACCTGTGGGAGCAGGAAAGGTAAGTCTCGATGCCTTTTGAAGTCTCACTGCCATGCTATATCCCATACTGAAATCTTGGGGTTGGGCTATGTGTAACACCGTTTTGAACTGGGCATATCTAGAATGGCATTTCTCAAGATGGGTTCCATGGAGCATTCCTTTTGTAAGAAGGTTGCACAGCCAAATCAATTTGGTTACCGTATGCTGTGTTTTACATGGTACTTCTAGTCATGCACAGTTTAAAATGCTTGTCTGGAAGTGAGATGTGTCAGTGAAGGAAATTCTTTCTGTCGCTGCTATCTGGGATAGTGACCAAGAAAATGGGACTTCCTTTTTTCAGAGCCTATTCTATTGGAAGTCTGGAGGTTGTAAGGCTCTTTTGGAAAGTGTTAAACATTTCCTTAGATGACTTTCCCAAGACATGTTACTGCCCAGTGAGTAATTGTGCAACTAGATGCATGCCACTGTGCTAGGAGCAAGGGATACAAATGTAAGAAGGCTCAGAGACTCCATTCCCCTCTAGAATCAACCAGGTCCTGGGTTACGTAAGACAGATCTGCCAAAGGATTATTTCAGCTGTTCGTTAGGAGCATTCTGATAGTGCTAGGCACAGACATACCACGTTCATATGTTCTAGAAGACTTGAAGAGGTGTACGTGCCGCACTTAGTCTTGTGTATCTGAAACAAAATATGCAAGGTAAATATCAGATGTGTAAATCATGGGGTGATTATTTACAAGGGCTATTTTCTCTTTGGAAACTTAGTTCAGAGTTTCTGATGCTTTGGATAGATTATTTCCACATAGCTTTTCAGAAAGAAGGATCTTTTTTCTTAAATGGCTTCTTGTTTTGTTTGTTTGTTTATTTATTTGAGAGAGAGGGAGAGAGAGAGGGAGGGGCAGAGGGAGAAGCAGGCTCCATGCAGGGAGCCTGACGTGAGACTCGATCCCGGGTCTCCAGGATCGCGCCCTGGGCTGAAGGCAGCGCTAAGCCACTGGGGCTGCCCAGATACAAGGATCTTGACAAGTAAAGTGTCCTTGCTGTGGGACCACTTGCATCAAACCTCAGATTTACAATGTGTGTATCCTGCCGGCCTTCTCTATTAAGAATGGCTAACAATCCTTAAGTGTTGGAGTATAGCATTTTATTGGGGGGAAACGCTACTGGGCAGAGCAGGTGGTTAGACTATTTTGTGAGTATTCGAATTTTATGTTGCGCTTTCCATAGCTGTACTTCATTCTACGGATAGTAAAGAAGCTCCGACGTGTATGAAAGCCCCGGGCTGGGGAAGGCTGAATCACGGGCTTGTTCCGTGCGGAGTGCTGACTGCACACATGCGCTTGTTTCCAATCTGTTTCAGTCCTCGCTGCTAAGTGCTGTCCTGGGGGAACTGCCCCGGAACCAGGGGCTGGTCAGCGTGCACGGAAGGATTGCCTATGTTTCGCAGCAGCCCTGGGTGTTTCCAGGAACTGTGAGGAGTAATATTTTATTTGGGAAGAAATACGAAAAGGAACGCTATGAAAAAGTAATAAAAGCTTGTGCGCTGAGAAAGGTAAGGACTTTGGAATTACATGTGTTTGAATTTCAAAGAGAAATTGTGTTGTTTTAAATGACAAGATTTAGTTCCTTTTTTCTTTTTGGAAGATCTTTGGACATTACTTAATGCTTCAAGCTGGTCTTGTGGGCGAATGCACCATAGGTACCTGCCCATATACTACTCTGCTATTTCAATCCTGATGTAAGGATGACATTCACAGGATGATTTTAAAGATTTTTCTCTCTCTCTCTCTCTCTCTATTTATTTAAAGTTAGCAAGGAATGAGGGGCAGAGGGAGATGGGGACTCTCATGTAGACTCCATGCTGAGCACAGACTCCAAAGTGAGGCTCAAACCCATGACCCTGAGATCATGACCAGAACCAAAATCAAGAACCACCTAACCGACTTGAGCCACCCAGGTGCCCCGAGTTTTATTCACTTTTAACTTTTTATTATTCATTTATTTATGTATTTTTAAAAGATTTTATTTATTTGTGTGTGTGTGAGAGAGAGAGAGACAGAGGGGGGGAGAGACACAGGCAGAGGGAGAAGCAGGCTCCATGCAGGGTGCCCGACGTGGGACTTGATCCCGGGTCTCCAGGATCAGGCCCTGGGCTGAAGGCGGTGCTACACCACTGGGCCATCCGGGCTGCCCACTTTTAACTTTTTGAAGGGATAATTCAAAAATTTGCAGATGCAGAGACAGTCATGTTATTACCCCTCATGTACCCAGCTCCTAGCTTCAGCTGTGCTCTGCTGGAGGTGGGTCTGTCTGTACTGGCACCCCTACCCTTTGCTGCCCCTCCCATACCCCAAATTCTATTGTTGAATATAGACCTCATATAATAGTTCATCTGCAGATATTTCCTTAGTCATCGCTAAAAGATAGTTCCTCTGATAAGAAACATTGTCCCTAAAAAATGACCCAAATTCCTTAATATCATCAGCATTTTGGTCCAAGTTGACATTTCGTTAGTTATCTCACCAGGAGATCTCCAGAGCAGTTGGTTTGAATCAGATTCCACATGAGGTTTGTGCTCGGCACTTGCTTGATTCATCTCCTGGGTCCCTTTTAATCTATAGGTCTCCTCTCCACTTGATTTTTCCCATGTGATTTATTATTTAAAGAAAAGGAAATGCTTTAAGATTTCTTTTGAATGCTACATCATTTCACAAGTGGAGAGATTGTTTTCAGAAATGACATTGTTTTGCAGAAAATGGCAAGATGAAATGTTTGTCATTGGGATTTTAAGTAAAATTGATGAATGAATGATGAACATTGAACTTACGTGATAGAATATAATTTAGCAAAAAGGAAAAAAAAAAGCAGATACCTATAAATACTAGGTGACTACCTTTAGGTTATAAAAATCAGTGGATAATAGCGTTAAAGGGCTCTCCCCAGGGTCAGTTCAATGCAGTCTGGACATCCAACTGTTCTTTTATACTGTGTGGAAAAGCCTGAGAAAGACTTTTAAAGGTAGGGCATTGAAGGCTCCAAGCCAGCTTTGTGAGGAAATTGTAATTTTGCTTGAACATCATAGATTTTATCAGGTGTGTAGCATTTATTGATGTGGACAAAACATAATTGCTTGTTTAATGGGCTTTTATTTATTTTCCCTTGGTCACTGTTAATGAGAGATTATGTGTTTTGAGACATGACCTCAAGGTAGCACTGATTGGCTAGATTTTTGTGAAATGGTGTATATTGTATAGGAAGAGGCCAAAAGCAAATGTAAAAATTCCCATTTATTCAGAGTCATGTGCTAATCATCTTTCTGCCTGTCACACCTGCATACACATATCTGCACACACGCACACATTAAAAACATGAGTTTTTAATCTTTTATCAGAGCCTTTGATGGCACCATCCTCATTGTTTAGTTCCTAAGACTGAGGCTTATGGAGATGAAAAAATTAAGCCAAACATTCACAGCTCAAGTTCAGATTTGGCATGACTCTAGATTCCATGCTTTTCCACTGGGCCATGATGCCTCCCATCCGAGGAAGTTTGTATGGAGGAGCTACTTTGTTACAGTCAGGTAATGGAGGTGGAGACCAGTGTGACACTGGTGGGAAGCCAGACGTGGAGAGACCATGGCCACGGTAGCCCACCTGCAAAGTTGGTGGGTAATTGCTTGGTATCAGTAGTAGTATTGAGGAACAGTTTTGTGGATGCATGCAGCAAAATGGGAGTAATTAAAATCCAGAGCTGGTTTCAAAGGTGTCCAGTTTGAGCATATAACAGCATTTACACAGAGTAGCAGCAATTATTCCAAAACAGTGAGGTCCTGAGGCATATAGCATTATCAGCTAATTATGCAGATTGCTCCTTGTACCACAAGGATGAGTCTCTTCAATACAGTGGCTGCTAGGAGTGGCCAAAGAGGCCAGCGTGTTGTGCATATAACTTCTGTTGTGCCCTTTTGGCTATTACAACCCTAACTAGCTACTAGTAGGTGAAGTTTTCCTTCTCATACTTAACACCTCTGGCTTTTCTGTTCATATGCCACCAGGTAACCTTGATCATTGTAATTACCCTTTAAATACAGGTGGCTGTGTGTGTGTCCAGGAGGAAGAATGTTTAAGACAAGGGTCTACATGGCTAGTAACATTCAGACAGTTAAACATAGTGCCCAGATCATGAATAGCATTTTCACATACAATAGAATTTAAAACTTTGTCTTAATTTGCCTTAAAACACCGAGCCTGTTGCAAATGATAGGTTGAATATTGGTCCCAAACACGACAAGATAAATTATATTCAATTGCTAAAGAGGCTAGGGGGAGCATTCCTGAAAAGAGGGTATGTAAATTTATTTTTTATCCTAAATAGGTGTCACTTTTTAAATAATACGTAAATTATATGTATCTGATATTTTTTTGTTGGGGGGAGCATAAAAATTGGATAATTGAGGAAGGTGGAATGTTGAGTTTGCAATGAACACAGCTCAGGCATTTTCTCTTTACCTTCATCAAGTTCAGTTCCTGATGCCCAGGATAGACTACAAAGGTCCAGACCAGTGTTTACCTTGCATTTCTGGTGATAGCGCAGCCCTGCCTTTCTCTTCCCCCATGTTTGAACATCTCTGGAGAAAGGGAGCTATTGGGATAGTGGCTGCGATCCAATGTCTTCCATAGACACTGATGCTTTCGCCAAAGCGACATGGGGCAACTGGACCAGTGTGTGGACCGTGTTCTAGGGCAGTTCTTTCTTTCTTTTTTTTTTTTTTTAAGTTTTTATTTATTTATGATAGTCACAGAGAGAGAGAGAGAGAGAGGCAGAGACACAGGCAGAGGGAGAAGCAGGCTCCGTGCACCGGGAGCCCGACGTGGGATTCGATCCCAGGTCTCCAGGATCGCACCCTGGGCCAAAGGCAGGCGCTAAACCGCTGCACCACCCAGGGATCCCTAGGGCAGTTCTTTCTTTCTTTTTCTTTTTTCTTTTCTTTTTTAGGGCAGTTCTGTAGGGCACACAGACTCTGGTGGGAAGGAGGTCCTGCAGGATGGGCTGTTGCCTTGATTCTTGTGTTCATGGCTTGATGTTTATGAACATGGACTGTTTCTTATTCTGCTGTATGGCTTGGGGTCATACAGTCAGGTCCTCTTGTGCTCATTCTCTCCTTGGCGGAAAAGGAGGCCCAGGGTATAGATGTTGTGAAGAGTCCTGGTCCCTGCTTTGTCACTTTCAACACATCCTGTTACCTACCTGGGTCTTTCCTGTCTGCTGCAAATGACATTGGGTCAGAAGATTTTCAAGAGGTTTTGCTGCAGTTCTGAAATGCTATCTGTCACTCTCTTTAGGGTTGGTAAAGGCTTTAAGAAACCAGAAAACCACCTGATGAGTTACGCGATCCTTTGCTTATCTCTTGGAATCCATGTGTCAGTGGATGAGCATAAGATGGCCAGGGAGATAGGGGCTTCCTGGAATGATTTTTGCCTGTAGATACAGAGAATGCTTATGTAGTAGGATATAGGATAGCTTTGGCCTTTAGATATCTTGGGTATTAGCTTGGGGTGACTGTTTCCTTTCTTATTAAATGGAGGTGGTACCTGACTACTGTCAGGAGGACCATAGGCAGGCAGTACCTCTAACATGCAGACATGTTAGGTTTTTGATAAATGAGGGCTGTTATTACTATAATAGCCCTTTTCTCTAAATTCATACAGACATAAATAAAGGATTTTTCCTTGCTGCCTCCCTTAAATCCTGGAATCAAAATAAAACAAAAAAGGCTAACATTTCTCACGTTAAATGTATTGCTAATAACTAATAACCAGGTGTATTATATCAGATCTAATTAAGTTAACTTAAGTCTTTCTGTAGAAAACATGAAATAATATGGGAAGATAGGAAGTAATCATGTTTAGCAGCATTGATTTGGGCTGATGACCTACTCAAAGTGACAGTGTAGTGGGTTAGAACATCATTGAGGGAGCACCTGCTTGAATTCCAAGGCCCTGGAGGCAGACAGGTGTGAATTGAATCTCTGTCTCTGTTTACCAGCTGTGTGATTTTGGTTCACTGAACCTTAAAAAGCTTCAGTTTATCTATAAAATGGAGATGATTATTCTCCAAAGTCGTTTCTTAGGATGAAAGGCAATAATGATCTTATAACACCTGATTGCTGGGGACATCCCAAGGAGTCAATAAATCTTAGACTCACATACAAGAGATATTAGCTCTTAATTTTAAGAGCAGCCAATTTTGGGTAGAATCATATCCATAAGATGTGACATCTTAAACAGAAGGTGTTTGAGTATACAATTTCCATTATTTGATTTGACATTTGTGTAGGTGCTCTAACCTTGTGCATTACGTAAATTAAAAATATTCTTCTAACATATGCAATGTATCACGATATTTGCATCTTATCATTTAGCACTTGAAGACTTTTTTTTTTTTAAAGATTCTATTTATTCATGAGAGACAGAGAGGGAGGCAGATACACAGGCAGAGGGAGAAGCAGACCATGCAGGGAGCCCAATGTGGGACTTGATCCCAGAATTCTGTGACCGACCACGCCCTGAGCCAAAGGCAGATGCTCAACTGCTGAGCCACCCAGGCATCCCACTTGATGAGGTGTTTTTTTGTTTTTTGTTTTGTTTTGTTTTGTTTTTGAAGCATTTTTAGACAATATATCCTTGAAGTAATAGCATTGGTAAATTCAAGTGTAATATTTTCCTACACAGATCACTTGAATTTATAAGCCCCACTGGTGCGCTTACAGGCTTATAGTTTCTTCTCATATTTACTACACTTCTGCCAGTTTGGACGTTTTCTTTTCCGATAACCTTGAGACATTTTCTTTTCTGATAATCTTGATGGTTGTAGAATGATTATGGTTCTACAGTTTTTTATCTCTCAATTGGGATAACTTCTACTCACATGTAACCGAATAATAAATGAGTACAGAGGGGAAATATGAGACTAATCTAAATATAGAAACTAAGTTTATTGATACCTCTGTGTGTGTAGAGATCTTCAGCTCTTAACTAATTTTTACATTTTAAATACACTTTTAATTTTAAATACTTTTATTTTTTTAAGATTTGACAGAGAGAGAGAGAGAGAGCGAGCGAGAGAGAGAGAGAGAGCGCGCACACAAGCCGGAGGAGTGGCAGGCAGAAGGAGAGGGAGTAGACTCCCCGTAGAGTAGGGAGCCTGATGCAGGTCTCATTCTCAGGACCCTGGGATCATGACCTGAGCTGAAGGCAGACACTTAACCAATTGAGCCACCCAGGTGCCTTTAAATACACTTTTAAATATACTTTACATAACCCATTTGGGGCAGCATGATGAGGAATGAAGAATAAAAGACTACGAATTGAGAGGAGTGTGGTTCAGATTCTACACTCCATTTAAGAGCTGGTAGTCCTTTGACCATTATGCAACCTGGTGTCAGTTCCCTCACCTGTGAAATGGGGCTCCCATTTTGCAGCCTGTGAATATTAAATATCATTCTTATCGGGCATCCGAGTGCCAGGCTTGGTGCGTAAATCTTAGCATCCTTACCATCGAGGAGCTGGGGAGACAAACCACGCACGTGTACAAATTACGAAGCAGAATAAGGTGGGCCCTTCATGAGAAATACCGAGTCTTGAGAATCAAGTAGAAAGAGCAAGGAGTTCCCATTTCCAATGATTTCATTGAAGAGAAGATTTGAGCTGGGCTTTGAAAGATCTAGGGGATACCGATTAGGCCATGATAGGAATGCCAATCATGGAAGAAAAGTTATGAACAAAGGCCTGGAACTCTTAATGTTTGATTCCGTGATCCAGCCCTCCTTGGCCCCCAGGCTTCCTGAATGGTGTCATAAACAGTCAACGGTCTGCTCCGTGGTATTTCTGTGGAAGCCTCCACCTTCACCAAAGGCAATTTGCTAGGTTTCTGGCTTGATGGCATCAAACCCAGCATAGTTCTTTCTTGGCTTTTCCTCTAGTGTGTGTGTCTGCTTTTAAATGAAAACAATTAGAGACAAAACAGTTGGTTAAATATAATTGAGACATAACTAACATTAGAGTACTTTCTGCTCATTGGGAAGATATGAAGTATACATTCAACTCAGGCTTTTCTTTTTAACCAAACCAGAAAATTGTGGTTAGGAAATTAGCCTGACTCAGATTTTACTTCATATTCTTTGAGATGTTTTTTCCCTCTGTAGCTTGTCCACAAATAGTTGGCAGAAGCAGCAGCCACTCCCAAGTCCTCCTACTAGGCTTAGAGAGGGTCCATTCCCTATTCCCTAACTGTACTGAATCTGAGAGTGGATTTTAAGTGCCATTCTTTAGAGAGTGGCTGAGATTGCTCTGCTGTAGCCTGGTGCTATTTTGAGAAGGAAGACAAGGCAATATAAAATCAAGGCATAAAAACTAATAACAGTTTGTGAGGACTGTCAGTGAATCGAGGTCAAGTAAAATGTGGGTGTGGTGGGTGGGTGTGAGTGGGTGGTGGAAGGCAGGGAACTGATTTTAGAATGGCCCATTGTTTTTCACGGAAACCTAAAGCAGGAGCTGGTGTAGTCTTCTGGGCTTAGCAAGGAAGTAATGTGAAATAATGAATTTTCATGATTGACCAATTGTTGCCTTTCACTTACTGCCATCCAGTTAATCTCTGAGCATGTAGGAATTCTGTGTGTTTCTGTGAACTGTCAGGGAATGGGTTGGGATGGAGATGCCCTGTCTTTTCCTTTCTTTTGGTGGCATCCTTTGCGTGATATGATTCATACTGTGAATGAAGTCCCATTTTTGGTTTGATCAAAAAATATGTATCCATTGCTAGTAGCAAGGTACAGTAAACTCCTGTGTTTTCCCTATGTATAAAAGATGTTAGTCTGCATTTTTGATTGTCACAGCATCCTTGAACTTAGTCATTCTTGTCGCTCCACATTTTGAAGAAGAGGAAGAGGTGCTTAGGGAGGTCAAGGGACTTCCTTGTCATGGACCTTCCAACATGCCTCTTGTTTTCTCCCCAGGTTGGTCAAAGTAGAGACAAAGAGATGAGGGCTCATCTATAGAAAGTTGTTGCTGCATATTCTAGGTTGATGCTTGCGAGATGTGGTAGGTAGATAACCAACACACTCCACCAAACTCTGATTATCTATGCCAGGAAGCTGTACAGTGATAATTACAGGCCATCTAAATAAAAGATTCTAATACAGTACAATGTAATTTGAATCTGATTATTATCCTGTCATTTTGGGGATGTTATTACCCTTTCCTCCTGCCCCCAGCTATTATGATTTGTCCATTTATTTCCTAAATAATATTCAGATATAATTTGATTGATTCCCCAGTCATCATATCCTATCTTAATCTTTGTGGCTTTGAATTTTATCTGGCTTGCATGAAGCAAAATTCTCCTTAGTGCAATAGATTTGTTCAGTGTCCCTCGAACACAATTACTTCCCTTCTGTTCTTCTGCTCAGACTGATCTTTCTGCTTGTTTTCTTGTACATATCTTGTCAGTCACTCTACTGTACCTTAAATGTGAAGACAAGGGTCAGGTGTTCACCTTTCTCCAAGGTTGGGAGGTTGAGGTGAGATCAGCAAACTGACTGGTTAAGACATACATGTTCTTTGATAACATAAGTCCTGTGGCTTCACAAACCAGGGGTGAACTGCGGGCTCTCACTAGTAGCGCTGGCTCTGAGGTCCAGACTTGCAAATCCAGGTGCAATATGACGTCTTGCCCATAACGAAGATCTTAGCTCACACCCACTGTTTCCCCCAGCTCAGTAAATGGTGTGCCTGTTCTTCCCCTTTCTCACGTGGAGGACAATACATCATTCCTCTGCCACCACCACAATCCTCGCCCATTCATTAGCAGGTCTTACAGGCTTGACCTTTGAAATTTATTCCGAACATGACCATTGCTTTCCATGTCTGCTGCTTCCATTCTGGTTCTAGCGAGTGTCCTCTCTCACCTGCATTAATGCAGTGCCATCCCAATGTGTGCCTTGCTTTCACTCTTTGTGTCATATCATCTGTTTTCCACAAAGAGGCAAGAGAGGGATTTCTCAAAAACCCTAAGCCTGGTGGGATGCCTGGGTGGCTCAGTGGTTGAGTTTCTGCCTTTTAGCTCAGAGTGTAATCTCGGGATCCGGGATCGACTCCCACGTCCGGCCCCCTGCAGGGAGCCTGCTTCTCTTTCTGTCTCTCTCTCTCGGTGTCTCTCATAAATAAAAAATCTTTAAAAACAAACCAAGAAAACCCCCTATGCTCCCCACGTCCCCTCTCCAAGTGACTCTGGGTGAAACACCTGGCTCCCTTTATCTTTACTCACTCATTCTTTGCACACTGTCTCCAGCTCTGCTGGGCTCCCTGCTACTCCTGGAACACGGGGCAGGTGACTTCCCTGTGCCCTTTGTGCTCGCTCTTTTCTGCAGGTGGAATGCGTTTCAGGTCTGCCCAGGTGCACTTGTCTTTGTGGAAATCCCCTCCCATCAGAGCCCTTCTCTAAGCCTCGTATAGATGGGATTTTCCTGCGTCTGTCTCCTCTGTGCCAGCTTCCTTTTTCTTTCTAGGTCTTAGGATTTGTACTCATGCTAATTTTTCATGTTGTCAGTCTCCCTCTATGGAAACTCAAGGGACTTTGCCTTCTTAAAACCAAATTCATTGTGCCCAGAAGAGTGCCCGACATATAGTAGATGTTCATTAGACATCAGTTAAGATGGTGAAATGCACGAACATTGTGGGGAAAAGCTGCAGACTAGAAGGGAAAAGCCCTGTGTATTTTGGAAAGGTTCAAAGATCACAATTTACTCACTTTGAAATAGATTTATCTCTATTGATCACGTACGTTTATGAAGAATCAGTGCTGAAAGTCTAGGATGACAGTAGAACACATTTTAAATCTCCCCCCCCCCCTTTCTTTCTTCCTTTTTACTTTCTGTCTCCATGTAGGATTTGCAGTGTTTGGAGGATGGAGATTTAACCGTGATAGGTGATCGGGGAGCGACACTGAGTGGAGGGCAAAAGGCCCGGATCAACCTCGCAAGGTAATCACAGTTGAGTTGCACCTGCTCCCAAGGGTGGCTAACCTGAGAACACCTGCTGCATAGTGGTGGGGGGTGCCGGGTGCCATATGGAACACCAGCCTTGCCTTATTCCATAGGCTCTTCAAATGAATGGGACCCAAGTTGTTGAATGCTGTCACAACTGGGTGATGTGATCTGGGGAGTGTGAAGCTTTCTCCCCTCTGATGTGGTCTTATATTTTCTAGAGCAGTGTATCAGGATGCAGACATCTACCTCCTGGATGATCCTCTCAGCGCAGTAGATGCGGAAGTTGGCAGGCATTTGTTTGAACTGTGAGTTTACTTGTGTTGTCATTTCTGTTCTGTTTGAATCCTGTGGTATTTGGGGTAAAACATCAAGAAAGCCAGGGTCTTTCAGAAGACTGTGCGTTCTCCTGTGGTGTCCCTCTGTCTCCTCCCTTCCTTCCTCAGAAGGTCCTTTTTAGAGACATTTTTTTTTAATTTTTTTTAATTTATTTATGATAGTCACACAGAGAGAGAGAGAGAGAGGGGCAGAGACACAGGCAGAGGGAGAAGCAGGCTCCATGCAGGCAGCCCGACGTGGGATTCGATCCCGGGTCTCCAGGATCGCGCCCCGGGCCAAAGGCAGGCGCCAAACCGCTGCGCCACCCAGGGATCCCTGACATTTTTAGATAATAAAGAGAAGAAAGAGATGGAGCTTACCATCTGTGCCGTGAGTGGAGGACATGAAGAAATAGATGGCAGATGTCCCCTTGATACTTGTTGTTGATAACCAAGACAGTGTTGTTGGAATCAGGAAAGTGATGCACAGTTTTTAAATCAAAGATTGGGACTTGGTAACGTAGGACTTGGTTGCCAGTTCTTTTCCATCATCATTTTTATTGGTGGCATATTAGAAGTGAAATTTTTTTAGTGCCCACAGAGCTTCTGTGGAGTGGCCTTGCTGGTTTGTGCTAATTATCCTGAAGATCAGGAAATACTTGGTTATGTCTAGAATTTAAGAATGCCTTATTCCAGGGTGGCCGAGTGGCTCATTTGGTTGAGTGTCTGCCTTCAGCTCAGGTCGTGATCCCAGAGTCCTTCGATTGAGCCCCACATCTGGGTCCTTGGATCATACCCATGTCTGGCTCCTTGTTCATCAGGGAGCCTGCTTCTTCCTCTCCCTCTGCCTGCTCCTTCCCCTGGTTGTGTTCTTTCTCTCTGTGTGTCAAATAAATAAATACAATCTTTAAGAAATCGTCACCTGGGTGATTCAGTGGTTGAGTGTCCGCCTTTGGCTCAGTTCGTAATCCTGGGGTCCTGGGATCGAGTTCTGCATCGGGATTTCTGGAAGGAGCCTGCTTCTTCCTCTGCCTATGTCTCTGCCTCTCTCTCTCTGTGTCTCTCATGAATAAATGAATTAAATCTTTTTAAAAAAGTTTTAAAACAAAAGAATGCCTTTTCCATATTACTTTCCTTGTTGTACTATGGCTTCATGGATTCTTATTAGAATTAATATGTAAGAACCCCAAATGTAGGGTTAACTTGAATTTGAAATATGATATCTAGAATCTAGCTCATTTCGTGACTTTCTTTGTGTTTCTGGAATTTGTTTTCATTTGGTCTTGCTTCATCACCAATTGACTGAAGTAGAATAACTCTAGATCTTTTCTGTACAGACTGTAACCTGACATGCATGACTCATGCTCCCTGCAGAGTCTAGACTGGCATATTTGGAAGCATTGTGAACTTGCTCTTGCTAAAATTGCATCATGTCTATCCCACAGTTATCTTACTGTTGTTCACGTTGTCAGAGCCAGCCGGTGCTTTCCAGTGCACTTCTGATCCCCTAACTAATGCCCAGAGATAGATTCTCTAGCAAATTATCTTGCACAAAACCTCGTTGTTTACAAAGGAGAACTGAAACAACAGAAATGGATTTTCTCCCAGTCCTGGAGGCTGAAAGTCCAGATCAGGGTGCTGGCATTTTGGTTTCTCTTGAGACCTCTCTCCTTGGTTATCTGATGGCTGCCTACTTCCTGTGTCCATACATGGGTTTGCCTCTGTACATATGCACCCCTGGTGGCTTTCTCCTTAGGTGCTTTTTAAAAAAAGAAAAAGATTAATTTATTTGAGGGAGGCTCAAGTAAGCTTGTGTTTGGGGGAGGGGCAGAGGGAGAGAATGTCAAGCAGACTCCCCACTGAGCACGGGGCCCCAAGTGAAGCTCAATACCATCACCTCTGAGACCATGACCTGAGCTGAAACCAAGAGTTGGGTGCTTAACTGAGCCATCTTGGGCACCCCATCTACTTATGTCTTAGTCTCTTCTAAGAATACAGGTCAGATTAGATACAGGCCCATAGTTAAGGCCTTATTTTTATTTTTAAAAGATTATTTATTCATGAGAGACCCAGAGACACAGGCAGAGGGAGAAGCAGGCTCCCTGCGGGGAGCCCAATGTGGTACTTGATCCCAGGACCCCAGGATCACATCCTGAGCCTAAGGCAGACACTCAACCACTGAGCCACCCAGGTGCCCTGAGGCTTTATTTTTTAACTTCCATCATCTCTTTAGTGGTCCTGTCACCAAATTACAAAATACTGAGGGTTAAGGCATCAATGTGAATTTTGGAGAGAGGCTGGGAAGACCAAATTAAAGTCCTAAGTAGCAAAGTAAAGAGAGTTTAGCAGAGTCATCAGTGTGAGGCAGCCCTGGGCTCCAGACACCAGAAGCCTGGGACTCAGTGTCCCCTCAGTATTGGTTCCTAATATTCCCTCATCTGGCTGCCCATGAGTGTTTATATACAGAGTGCTTAGTTTTGGGATGATGAGAAGTTCTGAAGGTAGGTGGTGGTGATAGTTGCACAACAGTGTGCGTGTACATAATGCTATTGGGAATACTATGCTTACAAATGGGTAAAATGGTAAATCATATACATATTTTACCACAATTTAAAGTAAAAGTAAAAAAAAAAAAGTAAAAGTACATAGCAGTGTCAAATATTTCAGATCTCAGAGAGCCAAGCCCCTGTTGCTTGACATGGTCTCCAGAGCTTTGATCCCACTCCCCTTCCCATACCTTCCTGATCATGAGTTAATGAATTTTCCCTTAGGGACGCGCTTTGTGGCTTGTGACTGAGTGCAGTGACAAGACCTAGAGCCTACCTTGCACCCTGAGGCCATTTCTGCTGTTCCCTGTCCTTTCTTCTGGGAAGGTGGCGTGGGGGCGGGGCTGTTCTTTTCTGTCTTCCCACAGCCCACCCTGTACTGGTGCTCTGATGACTTCTCCCCACCCTGACTCCACTGTGAATGCATGAAGGCACCTTGCGCAGATCCTTTCTGTCTCCATAGCATGGCGTGTGTCTCCCACATCCAAGATCACAGTCCTCCCCTTGCTTTTCCTTCATAGCAGACATCATGCCCCGAGAGTGCAGTTTCTGCATTTGTTTGATATTCCTCCTTCCACACATTATACAGAGAGGGTTGGCTGTTTTCTTGTCTTATGGATATGAACACACTTAGAATGGTGCCTGGTAGCTGAACAAATGTCTGCTGATTGAATGACGGTAGCGACTGCCTTGCTTGTATCCCCTCTACCACAGTACATGTCCCCTCTGTTTTTTTTTTTTTTTAAAGAGTTTATTTATTCATGAGAGACACAGAGAAGCAGAGACATGGGCAGAGGGAGAAGCAGACTCCCTGCGGCTAGCCCGATGCAGGACTTAATCCTAGGACCCCAGGATCACGACCTGAACTGAAGGCAGATGCTCAATCACTGAGTCACCTAGGTGCCCAGTACACGTCCCCTCTTAACACAGCCCTTCTATAGGATGAGCATTACATAACTTGTTACTGAATCTTTTTTTTTTTTTAAATGACATGACATGGAAACTTTTACTGTTAAAAATTTGGCAAATACAGCATTTTTGTGGAGATTTTGGTTATAAAACATAATCGAGGAAAAATGTAAAGGCATCACCTAATAACATCATTGTAATTCTATTCCTTTATCTTTGGTGGAATGTTAGGAAGGAAACCTTTTAAAACTTGCTTTGGTCCATCTTGGACATAGCAACCCCATCAGATTTGTTTGGTTAATAGCCCCTTCAGGGATTGTGAGTATGGAATTTTGAATAAAGGAGAACCAATTCCATTAAACACTTTTGTGTTAAGCCCAAAGAGGGGTTTACTCGGTCAACACACTTAGAAATGAAAGCCACACCAAGATCTGTCAAAAGGGAAACAATCCTTCTGGACTCAAAGAATGGAATAATAGTATGTACATGTCATTCTGGGGGTTATCTGATTTCAGGGCCAGTCTTAGAGGTTTCCCCTTAGGACTTTTCTGTCCTGAGTTCGAAGCAAAGGGCCATTTGTGGGTTAGAGAAGATGGAGAACATGCCATTCATCGAGCTGATCAGTACTCTTCCCAGAACATGCTATATGTTGTCAGCAGTCTTATTTTGAGATGGAGGAACTGAGGTTCACAGAGTTGTAGTAGCTCACCTGGCCTTGTCTGGCTTAGAACACTCTAGTCCGGGTGCCTCCAGAACTCCTGACCTGACCCAACTAAGCAGGTTGAGTTTTGGCCCATGTTGTTGAAATTTGCTCTGCAAGGGCCTGAGGTACCCAGAGTGAGGGCCTTGGGCCCTCTGTACCTCTGGTCTGGGCTGCTCGCTTACCTGGAGAGGTTGCAAAAGAGGTTGTAAAATAAGGAGTAGGTTGTATGTAGGGTTACTGTAAAAAAAAAACAAAAACAAAACTTGAGTAACTGACAGGGGCTTTTATCTGAGACAGTTGGCCTGTCCTTAGAGCCAATGGATGAAATCCACTATGATTTGGGCCATTTGGATTCTCTTCTTTCATATTCACATTAGGAAGATTTTCAGTCCTAATGAAAGATGATATGCTTCCTGGATGGGACTGACTGTGGGGACATTGTAGACAATAATTGAGGGCATGCCAGCATTTGTCTTCTAATAGTATTTGGGAAGAAGTGTCTAGAAAATGCTCTTTAGTGAAGGTCACTGAGAATTTAAGGATTTTTTTTTTTTGGTGATTATATGCTTTATAAATCATAATCACCTAGGAGACTAAGAAAAGTGTACATGTTTTTGTATGACATAGATCCTTCCTCCTCCTATGCCTATAAAGGTATGAAATAATTAGTATTTCTGTTCAGTTAGGTTTTGGAATCTCAATGTTGCTCCATTTTCATCATGATATATATAAATGTTGAATTTTAGAGTAGGAGAAATTTTAGCACTTGGTGGCTCCTTCACTGGACTGCTTTTTAGAATTTCTCAGAAGAGCTGGACTCACACTTCTGATAAACTTGAGGGCCTGATGGAGTTCATTGATTTACATTTGAATTTGATTTGTATTTTCCCTGGTACTTAAATTATAGGTCTTTGACTCACTGTGTTTTCAAAATGTCTGTTTTTCAATTTGGAGTACCCCTATTAACAGTTTCTGCATACTGTATTCTTTTACATTTGTAGGTGTATTTGCCAGACCTTGCATGAGAAGATCACAATCTTAGTGACTCACCAGTTGCAGTACCTAAAAGCTGCAAGTCAGATTCTGATATTGAAAGAAGTAAGTAATTTCTAGAAGTCTGTGGAACGTGCTAGCACTCCGATGTGTTGAAAGTGAGACCTCCCAGCAGGTCTCTCCGTGGATTATTCCACCACCGCCCCCGCCTCGCGGGTTAGTTCTAAACTCCCTCTCCTTCCTCCTATTTGCATCTTGTCCTTCCCAGAACATGACTCAAAGACATATAGAAATCTACCTATTGCATTCCAAGCCATTTTACCATAAAGTCAATAAAATTGCTACCTCAGAATTTTAAATCTTAACTGTTCTCGCAACATTGTTCAGGATAATGATGAAGCGTTTTTTGTTTTGTTTTGTTTTGGTTTGGTTTGGTTTGGCTTTGTTTTAGATTATTTATTCATGAGAGAGAGAGAGAGAAAGAGGCAGAGACATAGGCAGAGGGAGAAAGCAGGCTCCATGCAGGGGCCTGACGTGGGACTCGATCCCGGGTCTCCAGGATCAGGCCCTGGGCTGAAGGCAGCACTAAACTGCTGAGCCACATGGGCTGCCCGCCCCACCCCCCCTTTAAGAAAGCTTTGTTTTCCTCCTCCAGAAAGTAAGTGAACATGTATTATTCAGAGAATAGAGATACTAAGACATGTTTCTATTTGTCATATGCGGTTTACTGAAAGAGCGTCCTCTGTTAACAAGAGAGGCATGGTTGGAACGCTGAGTGCCCCTGGTTGAGACATGTGCTCCTGGGAATAGCCAGTTCCTTGTCTCCCAGCAGAGTGTTTTGTGCATTCCCAGTACATGTGACAGTCTTGGCAGCAGTAAGACCAGGTCCTGCCATCACAGCTTGCATTCTTATGGGCGTCGATGTAAACGGAGGGATTGAGGAGGGGAGCAGCTGATAGCATGACCTCCTCCCCGGGAAAGGTGGTATGTCGGGACCTGAGTGACATGAAGGGGTTGGCCACCCAGTCATCTAGGGAGAGGGAGGCTGAGGCACGTGGGCCCCCTTATGGGGTCCCGAGGAAGGAGCTAATCCGACATGTTGAAATGGCTGGAGGGCCAGTATATCTGACTTAGAGTCTGTGGGCAAATGTGAGGGAGATGCATTTAGATCAGTGCTCAGCTGGCCCAGTAATGGGTTGGAATCCATTGGACAGTCCAGAGCAGAAGAGTGTTATGTTCTAATGCACAGTTTTAAAAGATCCCTCTTGATGTTTGTTGGAGGTCCAACAGTGGAAGCAATTAGTATTAAGATTTTATTTGTCAGAGCAGGAGCATAAGCAGAGGGAGTGGTAGAGGGAGAAGCAGGACCTCTGCCCAGTAGGGAGCCCGATGTGGCACTCAGTCCTAGGAACTGAGAATCACATCCGGAGCTGAAAACAGACGCTTAACCGAATGAGCCACCCAGGTGTCCCAACAGCAGAAAAAATGAGAAGTCTCCATGAATGTTGGAAGATGGTATTATGGGCTCAGGCCTAGTGTGTCAGTTTCTATAGCTGCCATAATAAAGTACCACAAAGCTGGGGGCTTCAACAGTGGAAGCTTATCTTCTTCAACCTTCTGAAGGCTACCAGGCCAAAATCAAGGTGTTGGTAGGGTCATGCTCTCCCTGATGGCTCCTGGGGAGAATCCTTCATCGCCTCTTCTGGCTTCTGGTGTTTGCCCGCAGTCCTGGCATTCTTGGCTTCCAGCTGCAGCATCTTGGTCTGGACCTCTTGTCACATGGTGACAGCAGTCCTGGTGGATTTGGGGTCTACCCTACTTCAGTATGTCTTCAGCTTGATCGCATCTACAAACATCCCGTTTCTAAATTAAGGCACATCCATAGGTATCACATTTGGGCCTTGATTGTATGTTTTTGGGGGCTCACCATTCCACCCCCCACGTAGCATGGGTTTAGGGTTCGAGATAAATGAGACTTTTCCAGGTGTTTGATGTTTCAGTCATGGCTTGTGTTTGCTCTGAGCCTTAGCATGTCAATCATTAATCTTGGTCTGCTCTAGCGGGCCCTTGCTCAGACCATCGCTTCATCAAATGAAGTTCTGCCTTATGAAAGATGCTAGGACTGCAGAATGTCTGCTCTTTTGAAGCAGTTTCACAGCTCTGCTCTTCTCCTGTCCTCTAGGAATAGGAAGCTCTGAGTCCCCAGACTTGAGAACACTTAACTTCATGTGTAGAGGGGTTGAAGCAAGTCTGGTAAAACCTTGGTGTTGGCAGGATTAGGAGTATAAAGCCAATAGGCTGGATAACAATCTACTGAGCAGTGGGTTGGCCAGTCCTGGATCTTATGGGGTCCCCTTACTACTTTTCCCGAGGACCTGACTCCCAATTTCAGTACTGTCAGCTAGCATTTGTCTCCCAGTGAGCTTCCCTGGATGAGTTAACCCATTCCTACTGTCTGTGTGTGGTCCCTCTCTAGCAGCTGAGGTGTGTGTGTGGGGGGTGGGGATAGCTACTCTTGTGTCCACTTTTGTCTGTGCGGTGTGGCTGAGTGAAGTTACTGTCTCTAGACCACTAGTTTCTTTTTGCCTCTTATACGTACTAAGTGGAATGTGCTAAGTTAATTAAATAAGGCATATGAATTTTGCCCCCCCCCATTGACCAGGCACACTATACTGTGAATAATTTTCTGATTCTGTAGTATCAGAATGGTTCCCACAAGCTTTGTTGGATTTTTCTCCATAGCCTACCACAGTGCATGGGATGGTGGGGGGGGGGGTACCAGGTAGGACCCGGGCTGCCTGCCTTCGCCAGAGCTGCCCTTTTTTTTAAAAATTTTTTTTAAATTTACTTATGATAGTCACAGAGAGAGAGAGAGAGAGAGAGAGAGAGAGGGCAGAGACATAGGCAGAGGGAGAAGCAGGCTCCATGCACCGAGAGCCCGACGTGGGATTCGATCCCGGGTCTCGAGGATTGCACCCTGGGCCAAAGGCAGGTGCTAAACTGCTGTGCCACCCAGGGATCCAGTTTTTTTTACCAGAGCTGCCCTTTGCCTAATATTTTGTTTACCAATGAGTAGATTAGCTGAGTATTCTTTTGTGGGGTGAGAAGACTGTGAAGACACCACAGTATTTTATGTAACTCTGTGAGGAAAGAGGAACACACAACTTTGTGTGTGTTCCAAGAAAAATATTTAATTAGCTAGAGCTTAAGGAGTTGCTTGATTTGGGAAAGGCTAATTGGCTATTTATGAGTGGTGCTTCTTAACCTTTATTTTCTTGAATTTGATTGCACTGACTCTGCCTTAGGTTTCATTGACCTGTGTAGACTACGAAGGCATTAGAGTCACCCAATTCTAATGGCTACCTAAGTTAATGACTTTAGCAGGTAAACTATTGAATTTTCAGTTGAGAATTTTCTGAGCTTGTCGGCAGTTTCAGAATAATGACCCTGTGTCCAGGGCTACTTCCTACATGTCTTGTCCCGGTTCAGCATGTGATAACAGGGCCATGATCAACAGAGATTTGATTGGTGACTGTCCCATGCACAGGAGCTTGTGTCCACATTTGTGTCAAGCTTCACTCTTAACTGGAGTATCCTCCCCAGCTTGACCTTGTTCTTTTAAATACATGACATGTGCCATAATTTCCATGTTGTCTAAATAGACTGTACTGATAATGCTAGGAACGTTTGTGCTTTTGCTTCTTTAAAGGCCCTGGAAGTTAGTGAGAGTTCCACATTTTTATGGTATGTCTGCAGCAATTACCACAGGATTTGGCAGAGAACAGAAGAGTCAATTCTGTGTCCAGTTGAATTGAACTAGATGTATTAACCAGAATTCCAGGTGCCAGAGCAGATTTTTTAAAGAAAATTATAATCTAAGACTGGTTAACTTTTTTTTTTTTTTTGATTAGTGTCAGATTCATGTTACCAAATGCAAATGAACTGTCAAATTATTCTTTTTTTATTTTAGGGCAAAATGGTGCAAAAGGGCACCTACACAGAGTTTCTGAAATCCGGGGTAGATTTCGGCTCTCTTTTGAAGAAGGAAAATGAGGAGGCTGACCAGAGTCCAGCTCCAGGATCTCCCATCCTGAGGACTCGGAGCTTCTCAGAGTCTTCTCTTTGGTCCCAGCAATCTTCAAGACACTCGCTGAAAGATAGCGCTCCTGAGGCACAAGATGTGAGTTCTCCTCTTGTTGCAAACCCTGGTTGTCTTCTCTTCCTCATGCATCTTCCTTTTGTGACGCTCATGACATCTCCATTTCTCTGAGTTGATTCTAAATTTCCACAGCCTTGTTTCATGCAGTTGGTAGAATTAGAATGAAGGGAGCAAGCTTGATCAGGGCTCTCCTTGGGTGCTGGATGGAAAATCTCATGGGGCTTAGGAGTGGATATACTGCTGACAGTTCCTAGCAGCGGCTCACACTGCTGATGGAACTCTTGAATTTACCATAGGTAAATCTTCCTTGCTCTGGTGGCACTAGGCTTCCCTTTTGCATCCAAACATTAAACCGGTCAATCAAAATATTTTATTTATTTATTCATGAGAGACAGAGAGAGGCAGAGACACAGAAGGAGAAGCAGGCTCCATGCAGGGAGCCCAATGTGGGACTCGATCCTGGAATTCCAAGATCACGCTCTGAGCCAAAGGCAGATGCTCAACCGCTGAGCCACCCATGTGTCCCCAAACATTAAAGACCCCTCCCACCGAGTCCTGCAATGGTTGACATTAAATCAGTTAACTTTTTTTTATATGGTCAGAATGTTCTACCACTGCAGGTGACTGATGGGTATTATTTTGTTCCATTGTCAGATGGTTTTTGATGGGACAGAAGTAGAACATGTGAAGGATCTGGCAGGTAGCAGACACTTTAGAGTTAGTTCCTGTCTTCCTTTCTCACATTTTGAGCCCAAGAACCACATCTTATCCATCTTTGAAATCGCGGAGTGCAGTATACACCAAGGACATCAGTTTGTTCTACGTTCTCCTGAGAGAAGTGCAGAAATGCTCTACATCTCAGGTAGTCCTCAGTATCCAAACCCTCACAATCCAAATTTGAAACGCTGGATGATTTGGATAAGGCTTCAGATTAGCCCCTCAACATTACAGACTTGCATATCAATTTCTGAATTCAGGAGCCAGAAGATTCCAGACCACGTGCTATCCCTCGCTATCCTGAACCTTTATTTCAACTCAGTTTACTATATTTGGCATATGTTTTGAGCTCCTGTTATGTTTCCTGTTTCTGTCACTGCGTGACACAAATAATCTACATTAGCTCCATATCATTTTGTCTATTGTGGAAAAAGCTTCTCATGAATTGGGTTCCTTGTGCATGTGCTGGAAATTGTTTCAGTTTAAGCAAAGCCAAGCAGTTGTGAATAACTTTGTACAATCAATGTTTCCTTTTTGCTAATCAGTTCCTAAAACTGGGATAGCTTCACCCAGTGGTGAATACATACATGATTTGGCTAGATATTTTTACACCATTCTCCACAGGAGGTAGAGCTTTTTGCACTCCTACCAGTGCAAGTTAGATAGACTTGTTTTCTCATGGCTTTGCCAACAGAACCTGGCGTTGAACTTTTGAAATTTTGGGGTATGTTATGTAAAATTCGCCTCTTACTACCTCTCCCCCTTCCCTTCCCTTCTCAGATTGAGAATACACAGGTTGCTTTGTCAGAGGAGAGGCGTTCAGAAGGAAAAGTTGGTTTTAAGGCCTATAGGAATTACTTAACAGCCGGTGCTCACTGGTTTGTCATCGTTTTCCTTATTCTACTAAACATCGCATCTCAGGTAAATAGGGCATTTATTTTGTTTTGTGGCCTCAGCTTGATTACAGTACTGCTTACACTATATGTATTTACACTATTATTACCATATTTTGCAGTCCACTTGGATTTGCATGGAAACGTGCTATCTTGGGGAACAAAGTAACTGACATTTACTGCTGTTGCTTGTATATTACAGAGAGCTTCTAGAAAAAAAAATGTCTTTTAAAGATTTAAAAATGTAATAGGCACTTACTTGACGTGTTGTTACCTGGGATGTTGGGCTTGCTATAGACCAGAGCTGGAAGAGCTGTGTGCATTTTCCAGAGCCTTTTGACTATCCCCTTGGGTGAGTGACAGTGTCGGCGTGCCAAGTGATGTGTGATGATTTTTCTCTGTTCTAGGTTGCCTATGTTCTTCAGGACTGGTGGCTGTCCTATTGGTGAGTGGTTTTACGTCTGATGAAAGGTGCCATAAAATTGGCAGGCAGCCTCTCTTTGCCACGGAGTCAGGCAGAGGCGAGTTTTTTCAGCCTCCTGTCTTAATCTTACCTTAGTTTCCAGGAAGAGAAAGAAAAAGTTCTTGCTGGTAGAGTGTAACTTTTCCATGGTCTGTCCCCACATCTGATACTCCATAGTTTTGAGAACTGAAAGTTGAATTTTTATAAGGTGGATGTACCCAGGCCCTTTGACACTGGGAATCCTTTTTTTAATTTATTAATATTTTTATTTATTTATTCATTAGAGACAGAGGCAGAGACACAGGCAGAGGGAGAAGCAGGCTCCCTGCAGGAAGTCCGATACAGGATTCAATCCCAGGACCCCAGGATCACAACCTGGGCCTAAGGCAGATGCTCAACCACTGAGCCACCCAAGTGTCCTAGTTGCTGGGAATCCTTTTCTGGCATTAGTCATGTCTCCAAAATTCAGGCTTTTTTTTTTTGTTCTAAATTCCATCTATAGTTTAATATTTTTTTCTCCCTTTTCCCACAGGGCAAATGAACAAAGTGCCCTGAATGTCACGGTAGATGGAAAAGAAAATGTCACTGAGAAGCTCGATCTTCCCTGGTACTTAGGAATTTATTCAGGTAAAGTTTAATCATTCGTTTTATTATCCGGGAGTCTGAGGTGCTTACAATGAGCCTGTGTGAGTAACTAGGGCTTCCAGGAGTAATTCAGTAATGTCTTAACAGATTAAGAGTCTGAGTCGCATTTACTCTGTGAATTAATTAGAATAATTATTTTTAAAATCTACTAGAAGAAAGAGGTTGAATGAAGACTCTTAATTTGCTCTGTACTGGATTTTGGAAGTTAAACCAGGATTGAGCATTCAGAAAATCAGCCACTGGAAATATGTGGCTATTGTCTATTCTAATAGGTTGCTTTAGCTAAATCTTATATCATTATTTGGATGGGCAAGGGGATTAGAAACGGATCCCCACCCTGTGATTCGGATTGTTCCAATTCTGTCTGAATAAACCCCTGGCTTTTATTGAACTTGGATGAAATCCTCTGGCAGCAAGGTTCCCCCAAATAAAAGCATTATTTCCTCGCAGGTATGCAAAGCTCCCTTCCCCATACTGCTCATCTCTTGGGCTTCACTAATTACTTAAGAGAGAAGCTAAGCAGGGAAAAAATCCAGTGTCTGGGAATTAGGATTCCTTCTCTTTCTTACCTTGAGATCACAATGTTATCGCGTCCCCAACTGTGTGATTAATTTAACATTTGGCTTGCCAGACTAATATTAACACTGTGCTCTGTTTTCACAAGAGTGCTTAGAATATATGTGATATTATATACTTTTAAAAGGAAATCCTCATCTGAAATTTTAAATATTTTCACTGCAAATGCTCATACAAGCTTTCCGAAAGATAGAGCGAGTGATCTTTGTGAAAACCTACTCACTGAAATTTGGTATTTATTTCGTTGATCACTTGCTTAGAAACCTGAACACACGAGCCGTTTACCTTCGACACCATTGGGATGTGAGAGGTCCGGAGGGAGCCGAGAGCGGTTTTGCTACACATTGAAGCAGGATGAGGGTCCTCAGGGAAATGCCTGTTGACAGAGTTCAGGCATTTAAAGCAGTTTTGAGAGTTAAAACAACAGTGATGTGTCATCTGAAGGGGAGAAAATGCACTTGATGGCATATTTATCACAGAAGTTATCCACATTCTGTGTAGCATTGGAAATTCAGGAGATGTTAGGAAAGTGATTTTAATTTTTACGTGCATAATCGGTACTCATTTATGTCTTTAATAAAATCTGTTATTTAAGTGATTTTGTTCATTTAAAAATGCTTTGTGTTTTTACATAAAACACTCGGTATGAGCGATTAGTTGCTCACTGAGATTATTTGATGCTAACACATAATTTGTATTTTTTTGCAATTCAGTTGAGAGATTTTTCTACTTGCAACTTAATGTGGTATTTTCATATTCTTTAAAAGCCAATTGAGCATTTTCTACAAGGAAATGGTACATCATTTCCCCTGTTCCCTGTTAATTCACACGTTGGTGTCAGAGCATACTGCAGTTTTAGATTATGAAACCTGTAAATGGAGAAGGGAAGATGAACAATTTTTTTTTAATTCTTTTTCTTCTGAATTTTTAGTAGAACTTGTCAATGAATTAGAAAAGCCTAGCATGAAATTGTAGTTTACACTTGATTTTTTTCATATAGGTTCTATTTAATCAGAGAAAAAGTAATTATATTACTCTTTTTAAGTGGATCTTGCAAATGCATTGAACTCTTACAGAATCCTCGTGTTTTATGGAATCAGATACATAATATCTTCCTAAACTGCCTGGCACGCTTCAGCTGAAAAAAAGATGTTTTTCTCTGAGGGATGCTTTTTTATTTCAGGTTTAACGGTGGCTACTGTCCTTTTTGGCATCGCGAGATCTCTGTTGGTGTTCTATGTCCTTGTTAATTCTTCACAAACTTTGCACAACAAAATGTTTGAGTCCATTTTGAGAGCTCCAGTGTTGTTCTTTGATACAAACCCAATAGGTAAGTCAGACCCAAGTTTCTCAGTAAATCTGTCTTCTTGACATAGTGTCTGAATCAATTTCAGCATTTGAAAACAGGAGTCATTAGGAACACCTCGCCGTGTTTCTTGATTCATTTTATACAAAAAGCACCACTCACAGTTTGCTTCTACCAGACAGAATCTGAATATGGGGTGCATGCAAGCTTCTATTCCTGTGTGTGTGTGTGTGTGTGTGTGTGTGTGTGTGTGTGTGTAAACGAGTGTTCAGTTTGCAGACTGTGATTTAGGAAATGCATTTGTTTGGCAAAATACAAAACACCCTATATTGGATACAGCTGGAACATTGGCTACATCATGGACCCTGAAGCTAGGTCATACTTTAATATGAAGGGTCCTCTCACAAGGGACTCTCTCTGGAATCCCAAAGCTCTAGCATATGCCTGTCCTGGCTGGTTTACCTAAAATGATAATGAAAAATTAACAAAAACCCAAGATTCAAGTGTAAACATTCTCTTCAATAAAGGCTTTAAGCTCTAGCTTTAAAGTGGACCTTTGGTTACATATTATAGGCTTTGTGGCCCATAGCAAATAGATCTGCAGTAATATTTTCCTTGGCATGAGTGCACCTTGAGGTGTCTGAGTGATTGATGCCTCCACCCCAAGGCCTTTGACCTCTCTTGCTTCTGAAGAAGAGTCGTTCCATCAACATTTGTTCCTACAGTTCAGGCCCAGGGTGGCTTTGTTTATGCAGGAGAGAATTGACAGGACTTGTCCAGTCAGGGAAGTGGGCTTGTGAGAGCACAGGAGTAGACCTGCCCTGGTTCTTCACCAGCCATGTGACCCAGGACATAGCATGTTGATACTGCTGAGCCAGTGAATTGCAAACCATGATGTGGTCATGGTTCATAGTGTGGACTGTGGATCCAGCTGTCTGGGTTCACACCTGGTGTTAGCTACTGATTGTAATAGCTGGTTATGGTTATAGTAATACTCAGGTGCCTCAGTGTTCTTACCTGTGAAGTGGGGATGTTATGTCCTCCTCCTTAGCAAGACATTGTGGGGATAGAGTAGATCAGTGTTTGGCACCCAGTCAGCACATACAGGTTCCTAGGCTTGGTGAGGGTACGGTAGTAGGTTGGACTGTCCTCACCTGGTTAATGGAAATAAGAGCTGCCCTTCCTGCTTCACTAGGCTGTTGTGAGGATTAAAGGAGACTGGGCAGGCATGGATTTTATGCAGTTTTTTCAGCATATTTGTTTGGCCCAAGCCCCATGCTGAGCACAGGAATAGTGACCTCCAGAGCCCCCCCCCCCCCCCACAGGCCTGTGGTCTTTTCACATCTGTGGTGAGAACGGGACTGGAGGCCTTACACATCTGACAGCCAGCACATTGTTCCACCCTGCCCATTAATTTGAAAGCTACAGTTGTAAAGTTTGGAACATTAAGTGGGTCTGTGTTTCTGTTACCACAGCCTCTGAATGCTCCTGGCCACAGTTAACCAGACTCTGCCTGTTCAAGACCTGAAGGTCTCTCCACTTGCTGATTTATTTATTATTCAAGGATTTGAGACATAGTCTAAATGTTCGAGGTCACTAATCTTAGAGCAGCACACTAGTATTTATCTTGTCTCTTCTGTCCCAAATCTGTTAGCTGGCCTTCATCCCTTCAAGAAAACAGAAACCCAAATAAACACTCCACAGATAGGCCTGTTTTGCCCAAAATGTTTAGGGGCCATGAGTTATTAACTGTTTTTTGTAGTAGATTGAAACAATTTTTAAAAAATTAACAACATTTTAAGTGGTAGATTTTACCATTTGTTTAAAAGTTTTGTACGCCTTAAAAATTTTTTTTTTTTGTACCATTGAAGGCAATGGGAAGAACAAGCCAAAGCTATGAATTACGCTTCATGGTAGACATCATTGATTTGTATGTATTTTTAAAACACAATTTCTTTCAAGTTGAGGGGTAGACATGTTAATTTTTAAGTTCTGTTAAATATCTTCCCGAAATGTATACAGGTGCCCGGTGTGGTGGTGTGCTCCCTGAGTAGCAGTGTCCTCTGAGCAGCCTGCAGAGAGACCCAAAGTAGATCTTTCTCTTCTCAGTAATTTGTTCTTCAGAGCACCCTCTCAGGGAGAAATCAGTTGGCTTCCTTTGAGCTCACAATCCTAACACCATCTTGGAGTTAGGAAAACAGAAATCTAGGAAGGCATTTTGGCCAGTTCCAGGTAATGCCTAGAACTGCCCGTCCCATAACCTCATATGGATTTGCAAATGTCCTGCCAGAGTTCCCTTTCCTGGTGTGCTTCACTTGCCACCTGTGTCAAAATATGCTTAGAGTCCTTGATGCTGATTGTAGAAATGTCTTTTTACATTTCTTCATGGGTGCTTCCACCCCAGATGTACTGTCTCCCTTCTCCTTTGTTTCCCATTTTGTTCATCAGTGGGATGGAGATGCTTTTTTTTTTTTTTTTTTTTTTATGTTTTGAACTTATGCAGAGACCCACGCTTTCATTGAGGGGCCCCGAAACTCTAGTTTCCACCCCCACTGACATCCCAGCCTCGTTGACTTGGATTTAGGGAGAAGGATAGTGCGTGTGTCTGCTTGGTAGCCACGACTGTCTAACTACTTCAGAGCTCTGATTTTTTTTTTAAGAATTTATTTATTTATTTATTTATGAGAGAGACAGAGAGGCAGAGACACAGGCAGAGGGAGAAGAAGCAGGTTCCCTTTTGGGGAGCTTCATGTAGAACTCGATCCCAGGACCCCGGGATCCCGACCCGAGCCTAAGGCAGATGCTTAACCACCGAGGCACCCAGTTTCCCCCAGAGCTCTGATTTTTTAAGAAAGTTCCATCTCTCCAAGCTGCATGACTTAATGTTTCTCTCCATTTTGAACCCACGTTTGGTTGCCTGAAGTTTATTTAGTATATTACATAAGCAAATAAGCTATCTTATTACCCACTGATTTTTAATAACCCAATTAATCTTAAACTGGGGTAAAATTTGAATCAGCTAATGGGTTGTGTCAGAAGGGTAAAAGTGAGTTTTCTTTTTTGCCTTCCCTCCTCTGTGGATTTTGGTAATGGTATTGTGTGTGTGTTAAAGAGCCACATGTTTTCAGCTGTTCCAGCCTTTCACACACATTCTGCTTGCACCTTGAGTCCAAGAGTGCCTTTGTGGACGTGATCTGTGTCTCCTTGCTGTGGGCTGCACCTTGGCTGTGCCTTTTCCCTGATCAACATTTTTCTGTTGTCATCTCTGTTCTATCAGATCTTAATTCACAGATAATATCAATCTCAGGTCAACAGGAAACCATTGAGAAATTAAGAGATTATTTCCATATTCCTTGGATGAGCTGAATTTGTTTTAGTTTTTATGTCTGGCACAAGAGGGCAGCATGATCTACATTATTTCAGGGATAATGTAAGCGTGCACCTTATTACATAAACCTGTATTTTTTTTTCCAATTTAAAGCTGAAAAAAAAAATCTTTTTTTTTTTTGTAGCTTGAGTTTGCATTTTGTAATGTTGACAAAGATTTAAAAAATCTTTGTGATTTATTATGTTTGAGATATTAAACTCTTTATTAACGAATTTCTCAAAGAGTGTTGTCGCAGAACGTCTGGCAACTCAAACAAGTGAACCTTGGATTTTTGTAACTTGACACATTCTTACCTAGTAACTGGAATAGGCAGCTGCTGACAACTTGGCTGCATATATTTTAATTCCAAGGGGTAGAATATGGTCACTCTTGTGACCTGAGTTAAACATGAGTTTAGGGAGAAATATGACCAGTATTTCCCATGCTGGTAGAGTCCATAGAGATGTTTTATTCTTACAGAGTCTCTAGGATTTCACCCTTTGTTTTGGAGAGAAGATGAGTGGATAGTTGTCCTGTTTCTTCATTTCTGGAAATGGTGACATAACACTTGGCTGAATGCAATGACTGTCATGGATTCCATATAACTAAATCTGTTTGCTTCCAGTTTATTAATTTGGCTTTAAGAAATTAACCTGCTGGTGTCAGTTACTGTTGGTGTTTATTTTCTTAGTGAAATGCGAAATTAATGTTGGGTTGTGGCCACTGTTCATTTCATATGACTGATATTTCTGCAGTGATGTGTGTGTTCACTTGTTTATGCATCTGGTATAAGGAAAGTATCAAAGTATATATCATTTTTTCCTGAAAGATTCAGTTAGGCTTAAGTACTATACAAGGAGAAAGGCAAACGTACTGTCGCTTTTGTTAATTTTATCCTCCCAGTGGAACGTGCTTGTACCCAGTAAGGTATGGAATGTGAATTGTGGCATAGTGAACAATAAGAGACACATTTGTGTATTGTCCTAATCAAAAATCTAGAATTGTCCCAAGGATGAAGCTTTCTAATTTCAGTGGGAAATTAGGCTTTCCCAATTCTATCCTGAATTTTCGGAGATGCATAAGTAGGAGTTTGAGCGTTGGGGAGGGGTGAGTGGTGGAGGTTTGAACAGTTGTTCAGTTTCTTGAACCTGCAAAGGAACTCCTTAGCATCCACTGTTAGGTTGCTAATAAATAACTCAGGGACAAGTGAAAAGTGAGCCGAAAGCACCACGGTAAGCTTCTTGTACTGCCAGAAAAACCGTCTTGCCGTAGTGTTCATAAAATCAGTTGTCAACAGACTGGTGCCTTGCTGGAAAAGAGACATCGGTAGGGAAGCAAGATAATTGTAGGGATACCTCTCTGTTTATTCCGTTCAAATGACCACTGGAGTTAGTGCTAAAAGCATATTTTTAACAAGTATAATATTTCAGCACTGTCAAAATTACCTTGACGATAATAGGCCTGTTAAATTATAGCTCTATAAGTTAGGAGGGAAGATGGCTCTGCTTAGCCCACATTAATCTATGCCTGTTCACACAAGTGATTCTGCTGAGCAGGTAGCATGTTAGAACAAGAAATACTGGTCCTCAGAGCTCTGATTTATGGTAGGTGTTGTTTTGACACAGCATCGAGACGATTTACAAGCAAGGCTTCGTGT